ATTATGAATTTTGAATTCCATTTTGCAGATGGCCTGAATCCTGATTTCTTTATATATTTGATTTTGTTTTTTCCCCCACTTGTCAAAGCATTTGTATTTCCTCTTTCTTACAACTGCAATTTGATGCTGGACTTCATCCATCCATCCCTTCAATAGTCCTCGAGAATTATTTCAGTCTGTTCTTTTACCTCTTGTCATCTTGTCCGAACACACTATTCTAATGATGGATGGCAACTAAAATTGTTATGGGATCTAATACAGTTTATACCAACCATGGAATTCCATTTTTCATCGATGATATGAGTAATCTTATGTTACCTGATCTGAATTACATTTAGTGTTTGTATAGATAAGTTTTGTGGAGCGCACACTGTGGAACGAAGTTGAAAAGAGCAAGAAATCGCAATCTAAACAGTAAACAAATAAGTCCTGTATAATGGGAAATGCAGCTGTGAACAAGTTTCTTTTCACATCCTTGTCATTAAGCTGTCAATCCCATTCAGCTTTGTCTACATTTTGGATAGTGTTTTGTTGCTTGCACTTTTGTGATTTTAATAGCCTCAAACATTTTTGTGCTATTATTTAGGACAGATTGAGATGAACTAATTCTCCATGTCTAGCTATACTTAATCCACTTTGTTTTCAACTAACATTCTACAATCTAATTACTGCTGCAGGTAGTGGTAATTCAAACCAAACAGGAATGAATGTCGGTATGATCCTGTTCTGTGTACCAAAAAAATATTGACTTATATACCAATACGCGACGATTTAAATAATAATCTTTGTCCTCTCTCTCTACATTCATTTCCAGGCCTTTCCATAGCAGGTGCAGTTCTTGCTGGTGTTGGCTTAGGTTGGTTGATTTTCCACTACAGACAGAAGAAAAAGCAACGGCTTGCTGCACAACATACCGAAACTGTGAGCAATGACCTTCCACCTCCTCCTTCAAGCAAAAGCATCTCGACTCCTCCATCGACTACTTTTACCAGAAGCATCCCCTCTTATCCCTCTTCAAAATCTGACTTTGGTAGGGCCAGCTCCTACTTCGGTGTGCAGGTCTTCAGCTATAATGAACTTGAAGAAGCTACCAATAATTTTGATCCTTCTAGAGAACTAGGAGATGGTGGCTTTGGCGCAGTATACTATGGTATGAGCAGGATCCGTTGTTAGTTGGATATATGCAGCAGTTTGTGCAGCTATTGATATTTTTATTTATTATTATTTTTTTAATAGGGGTACTAGCTGATGGCCGTGTAGTTGCTGTCAAGCGCTTGTACGAAAATAATTTTAAGCGTGTAGAGCAGTTCATGAATGAAGTTGAGATCCTGACTCGGTTGAGGCACCAAAACCTTGTGACATTATATGGATGCACTTCAAAACGAAGCCGAGAACTGCTTCTTGTTTATGAATATATACCAAATGGAACAGTGGCTGATCATCTCCATGGGAAACGTGCCAATTCTGGTTTGCTATCTTGGACTGTGCGGTTGAATATCGCCATTGAAACAGCCGATGCACTGGCTTATCTCCACAAATCAGATATAATACACCGTGACGTTAAAACCAACAACATACTCCTTGACAATGACTTTCATGTAAAAGTTGCCGATTTTGGGCTTTCCAGATTGTTCCCCAACGACGTCACACACGTGTCAACAGCTCCACAAGGGACACCTGGCTATGTTGATCCTGAATACTACCAATGCTATCAACTCACAGAAAAGAGCGATGTTTATAGCTTTGGAGTGGTTTTGATCGAACTTATATCATCATTACAAGCTGTGGATACCAACAGACATCGCCAAAATGTTAACTTAGCTATCATGGCGGTCAACAAGATTCAAAATCACACATTGCACGAGTTAATTGATTCAAGTCTTGGATTTGAGACAAACAGTGTAGTGAGAAGGATGGCTACATTAGTCGCGGAATTGGCTTTTCAGTGTTTGCAACAGCAAAGGGATATGAGGCCTTCAATGGAAGAAGTGCTGGAGGTCTTGAGAGGAATTCAGAATGGGGATTTGGACGCTCACAAGGTAAAGGTTGTTGAGATGTTGATAAATGACGAGGCTGGACCCTTGAAGGGTAGCGTTGCTCCATCGTCACCGGATTCAGTTGTCACGGATAAATAGGTTAGCATCTCAGTTGTCAATGATAAATAGGTTAGCATCTCTACAACTAATTCTAGTGGATGAGAAATCCTTTCAGTCTTCTTTTTGGTGATTATGTTTCATCTATTTGCACGTCTCATTTTTATACTGAGTATACGGTTTTGACAGTCAGCTAATACTGATCTTAAGCTTCTAAAGGATGTACGTAGAAAGTAGAGCTGTTTTTTAAATTATTCTTCTATTAACATTGTATCTAATATGTGTTTTTTCAAAGTTAATACTGACGGATTTTTTTTTTTTTTTTCTCTTAAGGTTTACCAGCTTGAAAAGAACTGACTGTTTTGCAAGCCTACAAAATTGTTTAACAGAAATTGGTTTCTATGAATTTATTTTCTCTTGTTTGGGCATGCTCAATATGATGTCTTGAGTCTTGCTGACAATATTAAAACTATAAGGAAATTTAAAATCTTGTCTATCATAGTGTTCACTACTATGCACCAAATGCACTTTCGATTTACTCATGCTCTTTTTGTAAAATTTGGAAGAATGAATAGCTTTAATCAATGAATATTTGTATATAAGTTACATGTATCTATATCTTCTCAGCCTATCAATTAACTCCTATAAATCTGCTACTAATTGATGCTGTATTACAAAGACAGAAACTGATATATTACAATATATTTGTTACCTAATTAGATCCATTTATAATATTGACCAGTATCATGGTGAGGATCTTTGATTTTCTTAACACTCCCCGTCATGTTGGTAAGTAAATATTGTGAATTTCCAACTTGGCCAACAAAGAGTAAAATCTTTCCTTTTCGAGAGCTATAGTGAATATATCAGCAAGTTGTGACATGGATGGAACAAACTTTTTTATGATCTTTCCTTCCATAATTTTATCTCAAACAAAATGATAGTCAATCTCGATGTGTCTTGTTCACTCGTGAAATACCGGATTTGCTGCAATATGAAGAGTAGCTTGATTGTCACAAAACAATGTAATTGGCCCTTGAATTTGAACTTGCAGGTCTTGAAAAAGGTTTTGTAGTCATGTAAGCTCACAACATGTTGTTGCCATGCATCTATACTCGGTTTTGGCAAAAGATAAATATGCAGTTTTCTGAAGTTTGCTTTTTCATGAGATAAGACAATTTTCAAGGAAAACACAGTAACTAGTTGTTAAACGTTGGGTAGTTGGACATCAAGCCCAATCAGAGTCACAATATGCTTTCAACTTCAATGTATTTTGAGAAGAGAACATCATGCCTTATCCCTGTGTGCCTTTTAGATACTTCAAAATCCATAGGGCAGCTTCGTAATGAGGCTTTCGAGGTGACTGTATAAATCTACTCAATAAATGGACAGAATATGTAATGTCTTGCCGTATAATAACAAGATATATCAATCAACCAATCAATCTTCTATACTTGGCCGGATCATCTAATGGATCACCATCATCAGGAAGCTATTTAAGACTTTGTTCCATAGGAAAGCTTGTAGGTCGCGATCCTAAAAACTCAACATCATTCAAAATATCCAACAGATATTTTCTACAATAAAAGGTAAAGGTGAGAGTGAAAATTACCAAAAAAACAAAAAGTATGAACGTTTTTCACAAAAATCTTGAAAGGTAGAGACGTTTTATACTAATTACCCAAAAAATAATAATAATATTATAAATTTTATTCTCTTTAAAAATTGGGATCCAACTAGGGTGTCAACGAGTCGATTTGAGCCGAATCGCGAGTCGAAACTCAAAGCTTGAGCTCAGCTCAAGCTTTTTTATATCGAGCTTTTTTTACTCGAATCGAGCTGAGCAAAAGCTCGACCAAAACAATGAGGCTCAAACTTTTTTATATCGAGCTTTTATTGGCTCAAGTCGAGCCAAGCAAAAGCTCGACCAAAACAATAAGGCTCAACTGGAGCTTTCAGCTCTGGCCTTACCGAGCGGAGCCTAGCCAGCTAGGTTTATTTATCATTTTTTTTTTGTCTTTAATTTTTTTAATTTTTTCCATGAAGGCAATTGCCTTTAAAACAAAGGCTTGGCTAGCTGGCTGTTTTTTTTGAGCCGATCCGTGAGCCACAAAGGTCGGCTCAAGCTCGGCCCGACACTTCAAGATGGTGCTCGACTCGAGCTACGAGCCAAGCCGGTTTGGACTTTTTCAGGACCGAGCCACGGGCAGTCCAGCTCGGACTTTTTTCAGGTTGAGTTACGGACAATCCAAGTCGACGAGCCAATTTGTCATTCTTAGATCCAAGAAACCCTAAAAGCATAAAAGAATCTGGAAACTTGTATAAACTTACCTACCTATGTTCAGTTACATATTTTTACCAGAAACTATATACACGTACGAACTCCACTCTACAAAGCGCCGTCAGGCAGAGGGCATAAGTATCCATTATTGTATGACCAAATTTACCTAAATCTTGTAATTTAATGTTAAAAGAAAATCCCAAATTTCCAGTTAGATATTGAAGATTCCTTTGAAAATTCAGCACCCTACTCGTTAATCTCCGCGCTTCCATTCCACGCGCCACTCCCCCACCACCCCTAAGACTCCTCCCGCAGTTTCACCTTTCATCTCTTTGTTTATTTTCTCTGCAAAAAGCCAAAAAGAAGATCTGAATACAAGAAAAAAAAGATAAAGGTTGCTACTTTGTTTATCAACAACAGGTATGCGATAAATTTATTTGCTGGGAGGAGGATATTTTAATTCACGGAAATAATGGGCGGAGTGACCTCAACGATCGCATCTAAGTTCGCGTTCTTCCCGCCGACCCCGCCGTCGTATACGGTGGCGGCTGACGAGTCGTGTGGTGGAGCTCTTTGCATACCGGAGGTACCACGGAGGGATGAAGTCGAAGTTTTGAAGCTGAGGACCCGGCGGGGCAACGATATCGTGGCGGTTTACGTCACCCACCACAAGGCCAACGCTACACTGCTATACTCCCACGGAAACGCCGCCGATTTGGGGCAGATGTACGAGTTATTCGTGGAGCTCAGCCTTCGCCTACGCGTAAATCTCATGGGGTAATTTCTGATTTTTCAGCTGCTAATTGGTTGGCGTACGAGCTTTTAGCTATAGGAATGTTATAAAGATTGATTATTTAAGAGCTTTTTTCCCATTAATATGGTGAGTTGTGCATGTCAATATTGATATTTCCTCTTTATGATTTGATTTGGTTAAATAAAAACTATCTCTTAGTAGGATTTGGTTTCTTAATTTGATGGGATGAGTGCAATGAAATAATAGCCTTTTCTTGTTTGATCTGCCGCAAATTTGCCCTTTCTAATTCTCCTAACTAATTTTTGCTTGTGAATTGGTGGAGCTAAAATTGAGTGTTGCATCATATAACTAGTAAATATGGCAAATTCTATTCCTTTACCAAGAATTCTAAGGGTAATATAAAATTTAATATGAATAGGGTAAAAACGAGATATGGTTAATGGTTGAGGTGCATATTTATGAAAATTGTTTTACGTTTGATGCATTCAATATTGAATGAGTACGTGCAAGTAACTGAAAGCAGGAATTTTACCCAGCGTACTATTATGGGAATTGCGCAAAACCTAATTATCAGCTTTGAAACGGCAGATAAAGATTTTTGTTTGATAAGCAGGGACCACTTTCTCAATATTTTGGATTCCTGTTTATCATAAAGCTAATAACGACTATAAAAATTGGTAATTGTAATTATAAAAACTACATTTTTTATTTTTTTTTATGGTTCTAATCACTTGCGAACAGTGTTTGACTGTCTATTGTTTCTTGCTTATTTTGTTTTAAATGTGATTACATTATAGTTTCCTTGATATTACAAAAAGGGTGGAAAAATGATTTATTTGAAATTATAGGGTTCTAGCCTAAGCACAATTGTAGTCGATCCAATCTAAATCAATCAATTTCTGTCCAGAAGCTGTTCATTTGTTTTCCAAAAGTTCATCCATATGGCGTTTATGAAATATTTAAGAATGAAAAATATAACTATCCAATTTGTCTCGATTGTTGTTTAATTTACTGACTAGTGATTCTTCTATCCTCTCCAGGTATGATTATTCGGGCTACGGACGGTCCACTGGAAAGGTCAGATGCCTACTCCCTTTAAACTGCAGTATATGCTTGTTCTGTAAATATCCTCCTCCTCTGTTTTCTTTTCACCTGAAAAAGATCCTTCAAAGGCATACATTTTGATGCTATTCAATTCTCTAACAAAATTTGATGTACTCGAAATTTGGGTCACCTGCAGTAAATTAAGTTGCAAATGCTTTCAACAGTTTTAAGCCCCCGTTTGGCCCCCATTCTCTTTCTCGTTCTTTTTCTCTCTTATTTTCAACCACACAATCTTCCATAAAATAATATTACATGTAAATTGAAAACTTTGCATTCTTTTTCAACCATACATTTTTTCAAAAAAAAAAAAAAAAAAAAACGTTATTCCAACCATTAAATTTTGGAAAGAATGGGGGCAAACGGGGGCTAAATGTTAACTTACTCCTTACACTATTCAATTATGCATTCTCTTTAGGTTTTGTCTCTTCTACAATTAGGAGGGACATATGTTATTGACGCAAGTATCATAACTTCATTGTTGCATAGAATCCTCTGTCACGTTCTTCTTCTTTTCTTTTCTTTTCTACAAGATTTGTTGCTCCACCCCAAACAGAGTGTCTTCAATTGGCTTTGTGTGATTTCGGAGATGACATGTTTTGGTTTAGTGTTTGCAGAATTTTCTGATGTGATATAACAGATATTTTTGACTGGCTGTTTTTAGCATCAATAGTGAGATAAGTAATAACATAGGTTTATGTCAGTAGTAGTTTTTTGGGATACAACATAAGGAATTGTTTACCTTAGGAAAATGCAGTCGATTGTGATGCTACATAAAGCAAGTAAAGATATTCAATTTTTAATGGAATATTTTTTAGTATTGGTTTTAATAACAATTTTTTTAAAGCAATACTCTGCTTGTTGTATTGATAAAAAACTTTGATCTCCAAGTAGATTTATCAATGAACAGAGTGCAATGGCTAAGAAGGATTCATATTGTTGAATGACGCTTAGTTTTTAGTTGTCGCTTTTTTAGTGTTGGTAGTTTAATAACAATATTTTTAAAGCAGTAATCTGCTAGTTGTAGTTGATAGGGAACTTTGATCTCCAACTAGATTTAGCAATGAACAGAGTGCAATGGCTAAGAAGGATTCATGTTGTTGAATGACACTTTGATTTTAGTTGTTTTTATTGTTATTTCTCTTTCAATGTTCAGATACTTTAAATAGTTTGTAAATAATTTGGGATTCCACCTCTTGCAATATGAAACCACAGCATTAGAGCTTCATTGCATTATCAGACTTCTGACAAACAGTTTTTAAACATCGGACAAATATGACCGTTATCCATCACATCAAGCCACCATATTTGGGCCCCGTTTGGTAGAGATTTTTTGCCCCAAAAATTGATTTTTTGACCGTTATTTTACTATTCAAACCGTAATTTTTGACTTCTTCTCTCACATGTGGACCCCACTTTTCTTTTAACAGTCAAAAAATCAATTCTCAAAATCCCTACCAAACGAGCCCTTGATTTTCTATCTTTTGTGAGGGTCTCGTAACCACTATATTTTTCATTCACATTCTTACAAATATAGACGGGGCCTAAATTTTAAAAAGTGGACAAATAGAATACTCTTGACCAAAGTTTTAAAATGCATAACAATGCATTGTTGTCGAGCATTGAGTATTGCAAATATACGGTTGCCTATGCGAAGCATATGCGTAATTATGTATTTTTTAATTTTTAATATATATATATATATATATATATATATATATATATAAGAGATTTTGAAAACAGAAATGACTAAAAAGTAGGTTTTAACTTTTACGCTTAGCCAAGCATGCTCTAGGTAAGGGATCACTTGCTTGTTTTTGTGCTGCTCTTTACTTAGGTTTTGACATGGTTGGAATATTTCTCTTAACATTTTATTGTTGAGTTATGCTATATTATGACACAGCCATCACTTGTTTCTGGAAACAGCCAACTGAATGTAATACCTACGCAGACCTTGATGCTGTATATAAATGCCTCAAGGAGCAGTATGGGGTTAAAGACGAACAAATAATACTCTATGGTCAGTCTGTTGGTAGCGGTCCCACTGTTGATCTTGCATCACGCGTACCAAACTTGAGAGGGGTTGTTTTACATAGCCCAATTTTGTCTGGGTTAAGGGTGTTGTACCCTGTAAAGCGGACATATTGGTTTGATATATACAAGGTAACTTCACAATTCATTGTCGTGTCATTTGTTCCTGATTTTTGCATATTGACATGTATCGTTTCTCCAATTTTTTATTTTTTTTTACAGAATATTGATAAAATTGGAGCAATAAACTGTCCAGTTCTTGTCATTCATGTAAGTTTTCTTACTCTCAGTTTTCTCTAGACATTTTTCCCCATCCCTGAATCACAGTTCATAAATATCTGGAGAAATAAATTTTGCGGACTGGCATGCAAATTTTTGCATGTTAATTAGTAGTTTACTGTCCTCTTTCAGTGAGTAATGTTTTTGCCTAGATGCTTCATCTATATATTTTTTGAAATTAGACTTTTTAAGACTTGGAGTTTCATATTAAAAAGTAAACCTTGTAAAGAGGAGCAGCCAAGCTCTTAGTCTATAAACGATGTGGAATTTATCCTTTAACGTGTCCTATAAGATGATGGCTTGTTTTAGCACATGAATTTTATAATCCGAATGCTCATTTGAGCTTTAGACAAATAGAATATCTTGTTTCAGCTTAATGACTTTTGATACTATGTTAAAGACTTGGTATCCATCTTTAAAGTTCAACCTTGTTAAAAGTATTTTTTTGATAGGTATTAACCTTGTTAAAAAGTTGTAGCTCAAACTTTTATATATTGGTTATTTCATCCATAGACTTTAATTGATGAGTGATTTATTCCCTAATAAAGACATCAATTGATGAACTAAGGGAATAGAAAATAAGATTTTAAATTACACAGACCAACATAACTCTACATAACTAGGGAATGACTTTCTGGACATGGGCTGTCTTTCAAATGTTAAATGATAATGTCTCCAGACAATTATATCATTGTAATTTATAGTGGATCTTTGATAATTAATGATTACTAGACCGGCAGCATCAATACCCCTTAATTTTTCTTGGTTAGCTTTTTAGGCTTAAAAGAATATTAATTCAAGAAGGATATTAGAAGAAACATATACAATCATAAACTTCATGAATAGTTCAGGTACTTGACTCTTCTCTTCAACTGGAGATTGTGTAAGAATTGTTACGCATAAAATATCTAAAATATGTTAAAAAAATCTGCAATCAAAAGGTAGCAGTCGCTTTTAAATTGTTATTAAATCTTTTATGAGATAAATGATTAATAATTATTAAATTAATATCTAGGGAACGGCAGATGAAGTTGTTGATTGCTCCCACGGGAAGCAGCTTTGGGAGCTTTGCAAGGTAAAATATGAACCTATATGGATAAATGGAGGTGGGCATTGCAATCTGGAAGTTTATCCCGAGTTCATTAAACATCTGAAAAAGTTTGTGCTGGCTCTTGGGAAATCGAAGCCACCTATTGATGGTTCTAAAACTGCATCATTAGACTCTGACAATGATAATAAATCAACCACTAGCAATACCACGGACACATTGCAAACAGATCTACCGGATTTATCTAGGAACAGTTTGGATAGTCGACTTGACAAGTCAAAGAAGTTGAGCAAGCCTGAAAAGTCTCGAATGAGTACAGACCGTGCTGACAGGTTGAGGAGGAAAAAAGGCTTGATATGGTGATTTGTTTAACGCACATTAATTTACATACCTTCCTCAACTGAGAGTAGTATCAGGGTTTCTCTGCATCATTTCGTGAGTGCTTATGGTATAAGTTATCTTTGATCGTATAAGCTTGAGGGTGAAGGATGACCTCGAGAGGAAAATAAGAACTTGTGCATTTGTTTTTTCTCTTGAAAATTTTGTGGATAACTTTGATGTGAGCGACATGCGGTTTCAGCTGTTTTCATATCTTCAAATATGTATATTAGTCTCATTTTTTCCCCCTCCTTTCAGGTTTGCTGTTCCAAAATGTTAAACATACTGTTAGCCTTGAACTGTTCACCAATATCTATGTGACTGCTTCCAATATCTAATCTCTTAATTTATTTTTTCGTTTTTTTCATAAATCAGTTGCCTAGATAGAGGGAAGGTACAGACAGTACTTTCAACGTTTATTTGGCGATGTAGAAATCTAATCCTTTATTTTTTAGTAATATTATTATTTAGCTTAGAAATGCACTTCTTGTCCAATAGAATTGCACAGGAATTTCCTTCGAATTTTCTCTGGACCAAGAGGCAAAATTATTTCCACCAAAGAAAAGCAGCAGCACCTTGGATTTCAACATCTTTACTTCTCCTCCCACTGACAGAAACGTTCCTCTATACCATGGTTGCTCCTCGGTTAATTGCCAGCCTACTCAGCTCCCCTAATCAGTTCAGTTGCAATGTGAATGGCGCCAAAAGTGGAAGTTTCTACTTGATAAGAGATGTGACAGTAGTATCTACTTTCCCATCAATTTTATCTACGGCTGGGAATTTGTTGGCACTTCCAACTGCCTCAGTTGCGCTTCTTCAGGATGCTGTCGCAAGTGACTTCTTGTTGCAGTGGTCTGCCAATTCATATCATCTGTTAAAATTGGGTCCGCTCAGGCGGGCTTTGTGGGAGTAGTGGATTCTACCTTGTTTGCTTGTTATTGTGCTGATGAGTTTACTTCCAATGACAGGAACGGTATACACAACACCTTTTTTTTTTTTTCCCTCCAATTGTTTACTTCCAGTTCTTGTTATTCTTTCATTTTTTTTACGTCTTTTCTCACCTGAAGGGGTAAGAAAGTTAATTTTTCATTCATTCTTCTTGGAACGAAAGTTTAAACGTGCATGCACACACACTGATTGTCCAATTCTCTGTTTGAGAGCTGCATTCAAAGCATTATATATCCATAAATATCACGGTTTCACATTTCCATCTAAGTCGTTCAATGTTTTGGTTTGGTATTCTGCTTCCTGAAAAGACGGTGTTGATCATGTGAATCTGGACAGGAAAACAAACAAAACGTGGAAAATTTTTACTCAACCACGGATCTCTTGCTCCGAATGGATATAACTACTCAGAAGTAAGAAACATAACCAAATTCTTCTCTGATAAGCTTGGCCGAGGAGGATATGGCAGTGTATACAAAGGAATGCTGTCAAGATTTTGAACGAGAGAAAGGAAACGGAGAAGACTTCATGGATGAAGTTGGTAGCATCAGTAGAACTTCTCATTTCAATATTGTCACTCTTTGGGTCTTGTTAGGACAGAAATAGAAGAGAACTAATCTTCAAGAGTGGATCGCTGAATACAGAATGCCGTTTTAGAGTGGAAACATTGAACCGGATTGCAATTGGGGTCGCGCACGGTCTAGAGTATCTTCATGGAGGTTGCAACACAGTAATTAATAAATTATGCATTTTGACATTAAACCTGGAAACATTCTTTTTAGATGTAGACTAGCGTCAAAAAATTTCAGACTTTGGCCTTATTGAATTATGTGGAAAGAAACAAAGTATTTTGTAGAGATGGCAACGGGACGTGTTCAAGGTGGGGTGCCCCGCCCTCACCCTGTCCCGCCTTAGACAGTGCATGCGGGGCAACTTGTTGCCCCATTTAATTTTTTTTACATTTTCAAAATTTCAAATTATGTCATTATTAGAGAATAAAATACAAATTGAAAATGAATTTTTAATAGATGAATTGTGTAGAAATAAAAACATTTTTAATCTTTTATTTTTCCCTTCGCGAGGTAGGTTCGAGATGGGGCGTCAAGTTTTTTTGTCATCAATAGTATTTTGTCAACAATTGGTAACAAGAGGCACTAATAGCAATAGGGATCCACAAAGGAACAAGTAACTTCAAATCAAAAAAGTTTAATTCACTCATGGGATCCTCGGGAGACTCGTGGCTCCTTTCTTCTCAAGAATTCATACATCGCACAAGCAAATAAGAGAAAGTAGGGGAAAATAAAATTTGAAGTCAGGAAGAAGATGGGCAACTTCTCAAATGTTTAATAATTTAAAAATAGAACATTTTCCATGGAACAGAACGCTCTACGCAAACGAGAGGGTCAAGTAGGTGCTTATAGGCACAACTAATCACAAGCAATTTCAGATGTTCAAATAATTATAAATCCCTTAAGAAATAATGGATACAAACTTCAAAACCATGAAGTAACTCGGCAGTCCAGAAATTCCAGTTTCCTGTTTCTATTTCTCTTTAACTCTTTCACTCTCTTTTTCACTTGGAATCACTTAGCGACGAGATAAGGAAGCTAATATATTATTTAGGAGGTAAATAAGTGGTCCTTAAGAGGTTGAGGTCGTGTTTCTTGCTTAAAGACTAAGAATTTTGTGGGATGCAACCACATCAAACTACTTTGGTGAGTAATAAGTAGGAGGTGGCTTCTTGCTACAATATTTGACATTTCTACCATTGTATTTGGATTTATTTATGCCTTATAAGATATCTATATCCATCCTACACGAGATCATGCCTTAAGGTTGAAGAAATTGAGTGTTAAAAGGACAAACATCCCAAGAACGAGGTGTTCAAGCATGAGATGGTTACTTGTCATAAAAATCTGATTTTATATCAATCCTTGTAGGTACAAATCGAGTGTCATTGGCTTATTTTGATGTGTTTACAATCTATTTCACTTGCCCTGAGATCCCAACATACTTTGTAGAACTAATTGCTCAACCGTTCGTTTAATTTTTTACCCGATTGTCAACCGGTTTCAACAATTCGCACCTCAATATTTATAACGTCATATGAGACATATATTATTGCATTGTGATCATGTCACTTCATGCCTCATGTCCAAAACATGTCAATTACCTAACTAGCGTTTAAGGTGACCTCGATCAACCGAATGCAAGCTTGAACCTTTGTCGATACTAATTTTCGACCTTCTCGATTTTGCATTGCTTACCAAACCAATTTCCAACATTTAGTTAACCTAATTTTCTACTATAGCTCAAGTGCACAATGTGTTTCATGTGTCCATGCTAAGAAAGTATATTGGAAATCCTTCTCATGTATTGAGGAATGAACTGGTAGAGATAAAACCAGATTTGACTTATGAAGAAAAATTGATAGAGATTCTTCAACGAGAGATAAAGCAACTGAGAAGTAAGAAAATTCCATTGGTTAAGATATTGTGGCGAAATCAGTCGACATAAGATGCCACTTGTGAAAGAGATGATGAAATGCGAGTTAAATACCCTGAACTTTTTGGTAAGCAAATTTCGAAGACGAAATTTTTATAAGGAGTGGAGGATGTAATACCCTGAGCTTCACGTCATACGTTGGCCAATATGATTCATGTATTTCATGCTAATTACATGGTCATTTGCATCAATTCCTAATTGCTTTCTCTTAAAATGATGCATTCGATCGTCGAGGCTTTAAAATCTGTACATGGTGGTAATCTTTAACTCCTCGACCTAAGTGGTGAATTTTACATTGAGCTATGATAGAAAATTAGGTTAACTAAATGTTGGAAATTAGTTTGGTAAGTAATGGAAAATCGAGAAGGTCAGAAATTAGTATCAACAAAATTTCAAACTTTCCATTTGGTTGATTGAGGTTACCTTAAACCCTAGATAGGTAATTGATATATTTGAGACATGAGGCATGAAGTGACATGATCACAACACAATAATATGTCTCATGTGACGTTATAAATATGGAAGTGCGAATTGTTGATATCAATCGAGAATTGGGTGTCAATCGGGTAAGTAATCAAATGAACAGTTAACGAATTGGCTCTATAATATGTTTTGGGATATTAGGGAAAGTAAAATGGATTTTTAAGACATTAAAATAAGCCAAGGACACTTGACTTATACCTGCAAGGATAGATATAAAATCGGATTTTGCTATAAGGAGCACCTTGATACGTAGTACACGTCATACCTATTCATTTGTTTTTGCAATGGTCAATTCCTTCACTCTTAAGCATTATTCACATCTACCACTCTTTTAACACTTCTTATATGTGGGATATTATCCCTAAATTTAATAAAAACCCTCTAAGGATAAGTAGGAAATCAGAATTTAATCAAAGGAGACAACACCTACTCAACATGTGACGACTTGTCACTTTAACCTCTAATTCCTTCAACCTTAAGCCTCCAACATGTCCTATAAGTCCTTAGCACTTTACACAAGATAGTTATAACTCTTCTAAGTCACATATGTCTCCATATGATGCAAGGGAGAAGTCAAAGTTGGCTGCAAGGAGCCACATCCTGCTTGGACACCTCATGCTTGGGATATACTTGTCTTGTAATCATAAATTCCTTCACATTTAAGTATCACTCAAGACCCCAATCCTCAAGACTCCTTAAATAGCTCCTAAATAAGAGATTTGACTCTGCAAAGATAACCCCAAGTGGACGTGAAAGCAAAGGAAGCAAAAGGGGATAAGAAAACAAAAAGCTGGAATTTCTAGACAGCTTTAATACTTCACGATTTTGAGGTTTGTATCCATTATTCCTAAGGGTTTTATAATTTTTTTAACATCTGAACTTGCTTGTGATTAGGTTGTTGTTAATGATTTTATGATATCAAAATCGGGGTAATTAATTACAAGAATTTGAAAGAAAATAATCCGGACAGAGATGAAGATTTGCTATATTTGAATTGTTTAAACTTTGATTTTGGATAATACTTAAGATATAACTTGTATCTATGTAAATGAATGTTGTTATATGAGAGTTAAAGAATAGAAATGGTCTTCTAATAGCTTGGAATCTGATTGGCAACATGCTAGTAAAATGGAAATCGAAAACAGTCACAAGAAAAGAAAACTGCCTGATTTGGAGTGGTGAAAAAGGGATGGTTTTTGAGGCTGAAAAAAACTTCATTTGTCACACATTTAGATCATGATTACCTTCACATACATGTTATAGAAGTGTGATAAAAATTTGGGAGTCTTTGGATATAGTTAAGGAGGTGAAAAAGGATCGAAAAAAAATAATTGGACGGTAATAGAAATCGGAAAACAAATTCTGTCCATTTGTGTTTTTAATGTGATTTCAACCTTTACATAACCAGTAATAATCTCTTGGCCCTAGAAAATAAATTCTAATAAATACTAGGTTAATGATAACAATTAGATGACGTTGACATTCATAATTGGACTCGAGAAATAGCGAGACTTACGAGACTAGTTTGTAATGTCATCTGTAACTTGAAATAATGATTTCATCTAAATTGTCTTGGCGTGAATGGATGTATTTTGGGATTGTGTGTGTTAAGGTTATTAAATGGATGATTGTCTTTATTATTAGATGGTAATACAGGTGATTTTTCAACGTTGAACGAAAATGGAAATTGATATACACTCCGTAGAAGCTTGCACACACAAAGGCGAAAAGTACGTAAAAATTCATTTGCAACTACGATACAAGAACCTAGTAATAGTGAAGTGGTAATATCAAAAGATTTACATAGCTTCAATAAGAAGTTCATTGTACATCATATGATGGTTATGGTCATTGAGTATGCGGTTGCGATACCTATTGACAGCGATTTTCATTAAATATGTCATTCGTGAGCATTTTCATATGCATGCACAACATGTGATCATGGTTAAAAATCATGCATGCGAAACATGATTTCAAAGTGAGTTTTCTTTATAAATGTTTTATTGACCACTACTAAGGTACCAAGGCATGCTTATGTGATATGTTTAGCATCGCGGGTGATACTTCCTGGGTGATTGCAAAGGTAGACAGGGGATGGGCCTTTGGTGATCATGGGAGAATGGACCACTCGACTGTGCCCTTGTGATATTATGATTATTGGCGTCGCCGAGGGAGAGACTTCTTGGGTGATCATAAGGGTAGTTAGGGGATGGGCCTCTAGTGGTCACGAGAGGATGGTCCATTTGCCGATGTCAATTTCGTATTGACCATTTGATTATTGATATCGATATTATGCAGAGCTCTATCCGATGCATAATAGGTGGGTCAAGGGCCCGATGAAATGATTTCGAGTCGACTTTAATGCATATTGGAATATGAAGCTTCTTTATCGTGATGTTTAAAGTAAATGGCATAGTGGCATATATCATTATTATTCATTTCATAACATGCATGATTTTTGCTTACTAAGCATTAGTTTATGTAGTTCTTGCATTGTAGGTGAGCATAGAACTATATAGAGAGCACAACTAGCTGTGGAGCTCTTATAGGATTCTAGAGTTCGATGTATATGGATGACGATCTGTACGGTTATTTTGTGAGCTACTATTTTGAGCTAATGGCCTATTTTGTTGTATGTTAGCGATCCTATGTTGTATATCTTTTAACATGGCATGTAGACATGTTTATAACCTTAGAATACATATGTTTGACTATGGCGACATGATTTTGGTATAGAGACATAGCTTATGTCATTTTATCAAGTGAAAAAAATTGTGTGAAATTATATGTCAAGGTCGAGTCATCAATTTCATTCCCACACAGGTTAATGGATAGTTATCCATATGAATGAGAGTGTGACAGAGAGTGCACAATAGATCATAAACTCAAAACAGCAGCCCACAAAATAACCCTATAAGTCGTCATCTATGTACATCGAACTCTAAAATCCCGTAAGAGCTCCACAGGTAATCGTGCTCTCTATGTAGTTCCAAGCTCACTTACAATGTAAAAACTACATAAGTCAATGCTTAGTAAGCAAAAATCATACGTCATGAATATAAATAATAATGATATATACCACTGTGCCAGTTACTTTAAACATCACGATAAAGAAGCATCATATTTCAATATTCATCAAAGTCGACTCAAAATCATTTCATTTGAAACCTTTCATTTCATTGGACCCTTGACCTACCTACTATGCACCTAATAGAGCTCTGTATAATATCGATATCAATAATCAAATGGTCAATATGAAATCGACACCGGAGAGTGGACCATCCTCTCGTGATGACTAAAGACTCATCCCCTAATTGTCCCTATGATCAACCAAGAAGTCTCCCACCCGGCAGCGCCAATAATCATAATATTACAAGGGAACGGTCGAGTGGTCCACTCTCTCGTGATCACTAAAGGCTCATCCTCTGTCTACCTCTGCAATAACCCAGGAAGTATCACCCGCGATGTCAAATATATCACATAAGCATACCTCACATGCTTCGGTACTCTAATAGTGGTCAATAAAAACATTTATAAAGAAAACTCACTTTGAAATCATGTTTCGCATGCAGAATTTTCAACCATGATCACATGTCGTACTTGTAGATGAAAATGCTCATGAATGACACATTTAATGAGAATAGATGTCAATAGATTCCCCAACCTCATACTCAACGATCATAATCATCATATAATGTGCTATAAGCCTCTTATCAAAATTATGTAAATATTACAATATTACCATATCCCAAGTACTAGGTTCTTGCATCGTAGTTGGAAATAGATTTTTACTTACCTTTCCCCTTTGTGTTTGCAAGCTCCTACGGAGTGTATATCAGTTTCTTTTTTCGCTCAACGTGGAAAAATCACATGTATTATCATCTAATATTAAAGGCAATCCTCCATTTAATAACCTTAACACACATTATCCCAAAATACGTCCATTCACACCAAAACAATTTAGACGAAATCATTATTACAAGTTACCGATGGCATTACAAACTAATCTCGTAAGTCTCACTATTTTTTGAGTCCAATTATGGACGTCAACATCATCAAATTGTTGTCATTAACCTAGTACTCCTTAGAATCTATTTTCTAGGCCCAAGAGTTCATTAATGGACATATAAATGTTGAAATCACATTAAATACACAAATTGGCAGAATCTGTTTTCAGATTTCTATTAACGTTCAATTATTTTTCTAATCCTTTTTCACCTCCTTAACTATATCCAACGACTCTCAATTTTTTACCACACTTCCATAACATGTATGTGAAGGTAATCATGATCTAAAGTTGTGACAAATTAAGTGTTTTCAGCCTCAAAACCATCCCTTTTTCACCACCAAATCAGGCAGTTTTCTTTTCATGTGACTGTTTTCGATTATCATTTTGCTAGCATGTCACCAATCAGATTCCAGGCTATTAGAAGACCATTTCTATTTTTATAACTCTCATATAACACCATTCATTTACATAGATACAAGTTATATCTTAAGTATTATCCAAAATCAAAGTTTAAACCATTCAAATCTAGCAAATCCTCATCTCTGTCCAGAAATTCTTGTAATTAATTACCCATATTTAGGCATCATAAAATCATTAATAACACTCCAACCTAATCACAAGAAAGTTCAGATGTTCAAGAAATCATAAACCCCTTAAGAAATAATGGATACGAACCTCAAAACTATGAAGTAACAAAGCTGTCCAGAATTTCCAGCTTCTTGTTTTCTTATCCCTTTTTGCTTCCTTTGTTTTCACGTCCACTTGCGATCACTTGGGGTTATCTTTACAAAGTCATATCTCTTATTTAGGAGCTATTTAAGGAGTCTTGAGGATTGGGGTCGTGAGTGATTCTTAAAGGTGAAGGAATTTGTGATTACAAGATAAGTATTCCCCAAGCATAAGACGTCCAAACAAGATGTGGCTCCTTGCAACCAAATATGACTTTTCTCCTCTCTTATATGGAGTCATTTGTGACTTAGGAGAAGCATATTTATCCCATATAAAGTTCTAAGGATTTAGAAGACGTGTTGGATGCCTTAAAGTTGAAGTAATTATATATTAAAGTGATAAGTCTCCTAGCATGAGCTGTCTAAGTAGGAGATGGCTTCTTGCAGCCAACTTTGACTTCTCCCTTGCACCATATGTGACTTAGAAGAGTTATATCTATCTTGTGTAAAGTGCTAAGGACTTATAAGACGTGTTGGAGGCTTAAGATTAAAGGAAATAGAGGTTAAAGTGACAAGTCGTCACATGTTAAGTAGGTGTTGTCTCCTTTGATTAAATTCTAATTTCCTACTTATCCTTTGGGGAGGGGGGGTCTATGAAATTTAGGGATAATATATCACATATAAGAAGTCTTAAAGGAGTGATAGACGTGAAAAATGTTTAAGAATGAATGAATTGACCATTACAAGGATAAATGAATAGGCATGATGACGTGTACTACGTATCAAGGTGTTCCTTATAGCAAAATCTGATTTTACATCTATCCTTACAGATATAAATCAAGTGTCATTGACTTATTTTAATGTCTTTAAAATCCATTTTACTTGCCATAATATCATAAAACATTTTATAAAGCCAATTCCTTAACTGTTCATTTGATTACTTACCCGATTGACACCCGATTCTCGATCGATTTCAACAATTCGCACCTCCATATTTATAACATCATATAAAACATATATTATTATGTCGTGATCATCTCACTTCATGCCTTATGTCCCAAATATGGCAATCACTTATCTAAGGTTTAAAGTGACCTCGATCAGTCGAATGGAAAGCTTAAACGTTCGTCGATACTATTTTTCGGGCTTTTCGATATTACATTACTAACCAAGTCAATCTCCAACATTTAATTAACCTAATTTTATATCATATCTCAATACAAAATTCACTACCTAGGTCGAGGAGTCGAAGGTTATCACCATGTAAAAATTATAAAGTCGCAATTAGAAAATTGATGCAAATGACAATGTAATCAGCATGAAATGCATGAATCATATTGGCCATATATATAACGTGAAGCTTGGAGTGTTACATCCTCCCCTCCTTATCAAAATTTTATCCTCGAAATTTGCTTACCAAAAAGTTCAGGATATAACCTGCATTTCATCTTCTCTTTTCCAGTAGCCTCTTCGATTGACTAATTCCACCACAATACCTTAACCAATGGAATTTTCTTGCTTCTTAGTTGCTTTATCTCTCGTTGAAGGATCTCGATCGATTTTTCTTCATAAGTCAAATCTAGTTTTATCTCTACCAGTTCATTCCTCAATACATGAGAATGATTTCCAATGTACTTTCTTAGCATGGACACATTGTACACTTGAGACATTCCAATCAAGCTTATGGACAACATTTTCAATTCTCTCGATAATAGAAAATGGACCAATGTATCTTGGGCTCAATTTTCCTTTCTTTCCAAATCGCATAACCTCTTTCATCGGCGCTACCTTCAAAAATACTTGTTCTCCGACTGTGAATTCTAGTATTCTTCTTCTTTGATCTGCATAGCTTTTCTGTTGGTCTTGAGCAGTTTGCATTCGCTGACGTATTTGTATCACAACTTCAGCCATTTCACGAACTATCTCTGGTCCTAGAAATTTTCTTTCTCCAACATCATCCCAATAAACTGGAGATCTACATTTTTTACCATATAATACTTCATATGGAGTCGTTCCAATCATAGCCTAATAACTATTGTTGTATACGAAGTACACCAAAGGTAAAAATTTACTCCACTGACCTTGGAAGTCTAATACATAAGCCCATATCATTCCAATATGTTCCACTTATTCCATAGACCGATATGCTTAGCTTTATGTACAAGACATAGCTAGACTTCATGGAGTGCCACTATCTATTGTCTCAAACAGGGATTCTAAGTTTTTATCTCTCTTCTGAAGAAGCTTACATAAGGCTTTGGGAACGCAGTTATCTTTTAGCACAACTTATCATCCTCAGGCTGATGGACAATCAGAAAGAACAATACAAATATTGGAAGATATGCTGAAGGCTTGTGTATTAGACTTCCAAGGCCAGTGGAGTAAATTTTTACTTTTGGTGGAATTCACATACAACAACAGCTATCAAGCTACGATTGGAATGGCTCTTTATGAAGAATTATATTGTAGAAAATGTAGATCTCCAGTTTATTGGGATGATCTTAGAGAAAGAAAACTGCTAGGACCAGATATGGTTCGTAAAATGGCTGAATTTGTTATGCAAATTCGTCAGCGAATGCAAACTGCCCAAGACCGACAAAAAAGCTATGCAGATCAAAGAAGTAGAATGCTAGAATTCACAGTTGGAGACCAAGTATTTTTGAAGGAGAAGCCGATGAAAGGGTTTATGCGATTTGGAAAGAAAGGAAATTTGAGCTCAAGATACATTGGTCCATTTTCTATTATCGAGAGAATTGGAAATGTTGCCTACAAGTTTGATCTTCCTTCATCAATGTCTCAAATGCATAATGTGTTTAATGTGTCCATGCTAAGAAGTATATTGGAAATCCTTCTAATGTATTGAGAAATGAACCGGTAGAGATAAAACCAGATTTGACTTCTGAAGAAAAATCGATAGAGATCCTTCAATGAGAGATAAAGCAACTGAGAAGTAAGAAAATTCCATTGGTTAAGATATTGTGGCGGAATCAGTCAACAGAAGAGGCCACTTGGGAAAGAGATAATGAAATGCGAGTTAAATATCCTAAACTTTTTGATAAGCAAATTTCGAAGACTAAATTTTTATAAGGAGGAGAGGATGTAATACCCTAAGCTTCACGTTATGCATTGGTCAATATGATTCATGCATTTCATACTAATCACATATTATTTGCATCAATTTCCTAATTGCTTTCTCTTAAAACGATACATTCGATCATCGAGACTTTAAAATCTGTACATGGTGGTAATCTTCGACTCCTCGACTTAGGTGGTGAATTTTACATTGAGCTATGATAGAAAATTAGATTAACTAAATGTTGGAAATTGGTTTTGTAAGTAATGAAAAATCGAGAAGGTCGGAAATTAGTATCGACAAAAGTTCAAGCTTTCCATTTGGTTAATCGAGGTCACCTTAAACCCTAGATAGGTAATTGACATATTTGAGACATGAGGCATAAAGTGACATGATCACAACACAATAATATATGTCTCATGTGACGTTATAAATATGGAGGTGTGAATTGTTGATATTGGTCGAGAATCGGGTGTCAATCGGGTAAGTAGTCAAATAAACAGTTAAGGAATTGGTTCTCTAATATGTTTTGGGGTATTAGGGCAAGTAAAATGAATTTTTAAGACATTAAAATAAGCCAAGGACACTTGATTTACACCGCAAGGATAGATGTAAAATCGAATTTTGCTATAAGGAACACTTTGATACGTAGTACACGTCATGCATATTCATTTGTTTTTGTAATGGTCAATTCCTTCACTCTTCAGCATTATTCACATCTACCACTCTTTTAAGACTTCTTATATGTGGGATATTATCCCTAAGTTTCATAAAACAAAAAAACCCTCCAAGGATAAGTAGGAAATCAGAATTTAATCAAAGGAGACAACACTTGCTCAACATGTGATGACTTGTCACTTTAACCTCTAATTCCTTCAACCTTAAGCCTCCAACATGTCCTATAAGTCCTTAGCACTTTACACAAGGTAGTTATAACTCTTCTAAGTCACATATGGCTCCATATGGTGCAAGGGAGAAGTCAAAGTTGGCTGCAATGAGCCACATCTTACTTGGACACCTCATACTTGGGGAATACTTGTCTTGTAATCACAAATTCCTTCACCTTTAAGTATCACTCACGACCCCAATCCTCAAGACTCCTTAAATAACTCCTAAATAAGAGATTTGACTCTACAAAGATAACCACAAGTGGAGGTGAAAGCAAAGGAAGCAAAAAGGGATAAGAAAACAAGAAGCTGGAATTTCTGGACAGCTTTGTTACTTCACGATTTTGAGGTTTGTATCCATTATTCCTTAAGGGGTTTATAATTTCTTGAACATCTTAATTTGCTTGTGATTAGGTTGGAGTGTTAATGATTTTATGATGCCAAAATCGAGGTAATTAATTACAAGAATTTAAAAGAAAGTAATCTGGACAGAGATGAGGATTTGCTAGATTTAAATAGTTTAAACTTTGATTTTGGATAATACTTAAGATATAACTTGTATCTATATAAATGAATGTTGTTATATGAGAGTTATAAGAATAGAAATGGTCTTCTAATAGCCTAGAATCTGATTGGCGACATGCGAGTGAAATGGAAACCGAAAACAGTCACAAGAAAGGAAAACTGCCTGGTTTGGCGTGGTGAAAAAGAGATGGTTTTTTAGGCTGAAAAAAAATTCATTTGTCACAACTTTAGATCATGATTACCTTCACATACATGTTATAAAAGTGTGGTAAAAACTTGGGAGTCGTTGGATATAGTTAAGGGAGTGAAAAAAGATTGAAAAAAAATAATTGGACGGTAATAGAAATCTGAAAATAGATTCTGCCAATTTGTGTTTTTAATGTGATTTTAACCTTTACATAACCAGTAATCATCTCTTGGCCCTATAAAATAAATTCTAATGAATACTAAGTTAATGACAACAATTAGATGACGATGACGTTCATAATTGGACACGAAAAATAGCGAAACTTATGGGACTAGTTTATAATGTCAGCGGTAACTTGAAATAATAATTTCGTCTAAATTCTTTTGGTGTGAATGGATGTATTTTGTGATTGTGTGTGTTAAGGTAATTAAATGGAGATTGCCTTTAATACTAGATGGTAATACAGGTGATTTTTCGACGTTGAGTGAAAAAGGAATGTAAATGGCTCATTCCCCAAATGAAATGATTCCATCAAATGAAATGATTTCGAGTCGACTTTGATGCATATTGGAATATGAAGCTTCTTTTTCGTGATGTTTAAAGTAAATGGCATAGTGGCATACGTCATTATTATTCATTTCATAAGATGCGTGATTTTTGCTTACTAAGCGTTAGCTTATGTAGTTCTTGCATTGTAGGTGAGCCTAGAACTACATAGAGAGCACGGCTAGCTATGGAACTCTTATGACATTCTAGAGTTTGATATATATGGATGACGACCTGTATGGTTATTTTGTGGGCTGATATTTTGAGTTTATGGCCTAATGTGTTGTATGTTAAGAATCCTGTGTTATATATCTTTTGACATAGTATGTAGACATGTTTATAACCTCAGAAAATCGAAAGCTCTATGCAGATTTAATTGTGTTCGGTATGAGATTATGATATAATTTTGGGTATGGATTGGCTGTCAAGATATCAAGCTACTATAGATTGTAAGAGGAAGTCAGTAACCCTTCAACTTTTGGGGAATGAGCCATTTACATTCATTGAGATCGAAAAAGGTTTTAGAGTTCCAACCATATCGGTATTGAAAGCACAAAGGTTACTAAATAGTGGATGTGTAGGGTATTTGGTAAGTGTTATGGCTATTGAAGTACAACACAATCCGAATCTTAGTGATGTACCTATGGCACAAGAATTTTCGGATGTATTTCTTGATGATTTACCTGGAGTACCACCAGATCGTGAGATAGAGTTTGTAATTAATTTAATTCCAAGAACATTCCCAATTTCCAAGGCTCCATATAGATGGTCCCAACTGAATTGAAAGAGTTGAAGTTATAATTACAAGAGTTGTTAGATAAAGGTTTTATTAGACCTAGCTTTTCACCATGGGCACCAGTATTGTTTGTTCGTAAAAAGGATGATACAATGAGACTGTGTATCGATTATCGAGAGTTGAATGAGGCGACAATTAAAAATAAATACCCATTGTCAAGGATTGATGATTTGTTTGATCAACTTCAAGGTGCGTCTATATTTTCGAAGATTGATTTGCAATCTGAATACCATCAACTTAAAATAAAAGAAGATGACATTTCTAAGACAGCATTTAGTACGAGATATGGTCATTGTGAATTTTTGGTAATGCCATTTGGGTTAATAAATGTCCCAGCAGCTTCTATGTATCTGGTGAATAGGGTATTTGGAGACTTTCTTGATAAGTTCGTAATTGTATTTATTGATGATATCCTTATTTATTCTCGTACTAAAGAAGAACATACTGAACACTTGAGAATAGTTCTGCAGGTCTTAAAGGACAAGGAGTTATATGCTAAGTTTAAGAAATGTGAATTTTAGTTAGATAGTTTCATTTTTTGGACATGTAGTATTGGCAGGACGCAGCATTTTTATTTTTTTATTTTTGGCACACAACTGGGTCAAATTTTACACTGCCTGCTGTTCTTTTCGCGACTCTGATGAGAAAAAAAAAAATAGGAAAACGCTCGCACAGTAAACAGGTTTTGGGGAACAAGTTAGGCACAGCCTACCATTTCAAAATCTACACTCTTAACCCTTAAGCACTCCCTGTTACCTCTGTTGCCGCGTTCAAGCCTTATCAAGACAATTTTATATCTGTACAAGTCCAAGAAGCATAATAACTCGATTTACAATATCATCAAGTCAAGTAGACAGCTTAGCCATCTCTGACTGTTAATATTTCTAAATATTGAAAATGTCAACAAATCAATATGATTCCAGCAATTGCATGATTATTGCCTCAACTGCTCTTCACCAGAACCATTCACATATCTTATAAAGTCATTTATACATACGTCAATGCAAATATTAGGCTAAATGTTTCACCGACCTTTCTTATATGATCCCTTCAACCTTAGCATCCCCACAATAGTTCTTTCCGTAGTCCAGCAATTTTATCAGCAGATGATGCACGATACTTACAGTGTGGTCATCAGTTTCAATGCATGTCATAGAAAACATTAGCTATCCCTTCTTGGGTGATCCTCAACTGCAGTAATGTGGTCTCCCCGAATTCAAACTTGAGTTCCAAGGCCAATTCCCTACAATAAAGATGACGCAGAAGCGTATTAACTTCACAAAGAACGATAAAGAAATGGGAATTGAGGACAAAGGGGAATCAATTTATTTCATATATTCAAGGGTTGAATATTACAATAAATAAGCTCATTATTTACAATGCAAGAAACTGAAAGAAACCAAAATCTAATAAACTATAATCTTATCAAAATAATTAAATTTGATCTTATCTAATCTAATTGAATAGTGTAAATTACAACGCATGAGCCCACTTTTGAGTGTAAACTAGTCCTAATTGAAGTAGCAAAATACTATGAAATCAATCTCTAACTATGTTTCCTAAATTAAATATCCTAAATATAATAATGTATCTTCTAATATTACATCAACTAGTCTTAAGGTGACGTTAGAATAATTACCTGACAAAGTGCCTGCTGGTTCATCATGCGGCATCCAAATTAAGGCAGTTTTTATGGAACGACCAAAAAGGTAATCCAGAACAAGTCACAGTTTTAAAACCAATGTGAAGCATATTACTTCCTCCCACCTCAAAATTACCTGAAAACTTTTAAGTAATTTGAAATGTGAGTGGTACCCATCTCATCTGTGCATTATATAGTTTGATGGATAAATCCCTCTCTCATAGGTGCTAGTTCACCATAATGAAGAAAAGAATTCACATTAAGATGTATATGTTGGCTGATGGCTATCAGCTTGTCCAATACCAACCCAATCAATCACTGATTCTGTTCAAGTTTGCCTGCAAAATTGCAAATTATTCAGTCAAGAAATCATAGAAGCAAGGGCACAAGCCACTGAATCCACCATTACGTATACAATGCAAAAGTTGGAAAAATTTATCAACTTAAAACTCTATTAAACAGATTTATGAGAAGGGAATCCCCAGAACTATGATGTTAATATCTCTCTTTGAAAATGAAATGATTTAAAAGATAGGAGAGGTTTACCAGCTTGCGTTTCAGATCACAAATTTCCTTCTCTCTTTGATTGGCAAAAAATTTCAATGACTATTACAGGGAAAACAGAAGGTTAAAAGGGTTAGAGACATACGAGTCAGTCTAAACAAAAACAGTTTAATTAGCAAGGAGAGAATTAGTTTACTTACTCCATTTCTCTGGATTTCAAGTGACCTAGATAATGCATCTCTTCTATTCAACAAATTTCTAGGTAACAACTTTGGACGTTTATAGTTCTTCCCACGATACATAATTATGGCATGGCCCTCTTTAATTTTTTCTACAGAAACCAGGATCCCACAACTTTCGGCCTCAAGAAGTTTTGCAGTGTAAAGGACCTGTGAGAACTTTTTCTGCATTGTAATTACTTTCACAATTTCTCTGTGCTTCCAGTGTTGACGAATGCCTTCTATTACACCATCAAAAACACCGCGCCTTCCTGAAGCCAGGTTAAATAAAAAAAATGAACATGATAACTTGATAGCAAACATATTTCGATTCAAAGGACTGGGCAGCAGCAAAACAGCAGAGGCTAATAAGCTATCTGAATTTCAAGGAAGTTTGAAGGTACAGACAAATAGAAGTTTGAGCTTATCACTTATATTAGTTGCTGACACTTATCTAACTTAGTTTTTTCAGGCTTTACTTTGCTCATGGATATATGAACGGCTGAAAGGAAAATAGTTATTTCTTAAGAGTAAAGAGAAACGCAAGGACATACTGGTTCTAACCCCCAAACAGATCCAGTCTATAAACTCAAATGTCAAAACTGAAAAAATCCAGATTCCATTTCTTTAAGGTGTCTCCCGACTTCATTTGATGAATGAGATACACTAGTAGTTCAATCAAATAATTAACAAAGAGGCCCAGCTGAAGACTTCTAAATATGTGATTGCTGACAGTAGACAATGCAACCAATACTTTGAGATCCCTCTCAACTACATTACTTACTTGCATTCAAAAACTTTACACAGGGATTTTTAATCCCATTCTGTAGTCACTGTCTTGTTTGACATAATAGATTCTCTAGTCAGAATCTTTACGTCAGTTACTATTGATTCAAATGAGTTAATTTAGGTATTAATTTAGCATGAATCTTTAGGCAACCTTTATGATTTGTAGCAAGTACATGCTACATTATTTATGTGAATGTAATTGCAACATTTCTCAATTTGACTTCATCAAATTATGACATTGTTCCGATCTCGTGACTTAATTGCTATAGTCATGAAGGACTTACACAGGTTCTCCTCACAACTAAAAATACATCCATAATAATAAAGCCAAAATAAATAATTTTAATATTCCTAAGGTTTTAAAAAACATTTTTTTATGATAAGAACAAGAAGAAGCTAAGGGTGAAAATAGAAGAAGCAGAAGCTTTTTCTTACCAAGCACCAAACTGCTATCTAACTTCAATCCTATCTCCCGCATGCATTCTCTCTCCTCTTGTGTTATCAATTCCTGATCCAAATCTTGCTCAGAAGGTCTCCAGGCCTGACTTAGTGCCGCCAGTGTTTTATCTGATTTTTCTTTCTTCTTCTTAAGCTGCAAAATTTACAGCTAATGAGTATTTAATTTTTCGAATGCAAAAATATAGGACAAAAAGGAGTAATAAGATCTCACAATGAAAAGCTTTCGCTCTTGATTTTTGAGTTCCTTTTCCAATCTCCACCGTTCTGCTTCCAGCTGAACTTCAACCTCAGTCTTCCCGTTTTTCAGGTTCCTGCATTCTGATAGAATGCTATGGAATTCTGATAAAGTTCCAATGCTGCTAGACTTCAATATATCCTCGTGGGCGACAGAAGATATATCACTTGCTTTTAACCGTGCAGCTTCTTCCTGAAGTTGGTATCTGGTGAGCTCTTTTTCTCTTTCAGCAACTAGAGTTGCAACTTGAGAGGGAACAAAATCCTTGCCTCTATAGAGAATTATGAAGAACTTGTTGCGCAATAAAAGAACTCCCCCAGTGAGATTCTGCATCAGGAATCGATAAATTGATGACCATTGTTTTCAATCCCATAAGACATTAAAAACTAAATACTTCGGCCACTCAACTAGGGCCATGTTTTTTCAGCATTTGACCAACAAACAAATGCAAGCCACTTTAAAAGTACCCGGAGGGAAATGGTACCATAACATAACGAGTCTAATAACCAATGGGTATATCTTGTGATCCATTTAAAAAAAAAAAAAAAATAGTATATGTATAACCTCACAGATTAAGGGGATTCATTTCACCTAAAGAGATTATCACAGAATATAGCGTGGGATACCTGAAAACTGAACTTTAGGATATAAAGGGATTGTGTTACAATTGAGAAATTTCTCTCACGAAGATTTCACATATTCACATGATCTTTTCATATGTTTTCAGAATATACTTCAAACTATGAGTATTTCTGTGTTAAAAAAAAAAATCTTTTCGGCTAAAAACTAGATTCACTTTTGACTTCAGGGCTGCAAATGAGCCAGCTCAAACTGAGTTTTAGCTATTCAACCTCAGCACAGCATTATAATGAAACCTTAAAATGCTCCTACTTGAAGAAGTTTTTAAGAAGCTAATATAAACTCAAGTATTGGCTCCAATCAAAACCAAAAAGCGTGTGTGATTGCATGTAACAATAAAGAAAAAGAAAAGAGGTTCTTTTTGTATACTATATCCCCTTCAATAGGTGATAAAGTACTAGACAATAGCAGAAGCAATATTATTGAAACAAGCAGATTATATGACATGAACAATGCTGTAGTATTTCATACTTGGCCTCGTTAGTAGGTTTTCACACACTTGAGGTTGCTCAACCAAACGCAAACCTTCTAAGATAACAACATGCTACATGGGGCTCATATGCAAGCAACAGTTCAGAATATCAGTGATGCAAATTGGAAGTGTATTCTAGGCGTAAACGAAATCAAATTAATTAAAGATCGAATTTTCATTATTTCACTTTATTGTTTTTGGTAACTATAAACGGAATCAAATTAATTAAAGATCGAATTTTCATTATTTCACTTCATTGTTTTTGGTAGAATAGTTAATTTGTCTAGAATACACTTTCCAATTTGCATCAATCAGATCTTCAAAATCAAAAAGTAAAACTGATGAATTCATTTTATCACACTTGCCTTAAGTTCATATGCCATTTCCTCATTGTCTGTGTTGGGAATTCCCCACTTCAGAGCAATTTTTACAATATGACACTTCTCCCACAATTTCAGAATGGCTGCCGCCAGTCCTTGCAGTTTCCTATTTCTTCCTTCAGGAAACCAAAACTAGAGTAAGTCAGAACAGTAAGCATAACCACACCCAAACAGAGTGTAGACAAATATGCATCCTACTGTGCATTGACTAAATGTGTTGGACAGCATTATAAAGAAACTATAAAATAAGTTGTTCACGCTTTAAGATTCAAGATATAAATTTGCAACAAACTAAAAACCTCAACTCTTTTCCTCAAGAACACTGATTGAATCAAAAGTATAACCAAATTGATTTTGCATAATTTACTTACAGTAATACACATAAACATGTGGTTAGCCTTCACAAGATACAGGACATCCAAAATTATCACTCCTAGAATTAGATATCTTCAGTACTTCTAAACTCAATGCACACATTGTTTCCAGTAAATTCAGTGCCACATCATATTTTATCCATTTCTAAAAGATAATGTACAATGCAGTTGAGAGAAACTTGCACATTTAAAACATTGAGAGGTTCGTTTATACTGAAATAGGAAACTGCTCTAGTCCCAACTGTCTTCAATTAGGGTTTCCAATTATTTTCCTTTTTTCCCCTCTGGTAGGGAATTGATCTTATGGTCACCCCCCGGGCTTCAAAATGAGCTTCATTATTTAAATGTAACTGAAAATGAAGGAAATGAGCATCAGAACCAAATTCAATTTGACATTAAAAGATACATTCATTTTAAATGGACTAAATAAGTTAGCAATACTTTATCAATGGCATATATAGATGAGGAAGAACATGCAGATGCATGAGAAGAAAAATTGGTAGAAGTAGAAAGTGTGATATGACATCCAGAAAAAGATATTGAGCACAATAAAATGTTGCACATAGGTACAAAATCTCTTGAAACTGTGTGTGTGTATATAAGAAGAGATAATTCTAATAGTTCAGTTGATATTGTTATAGTGCAGTGACAAAGGAAAGGAAAATACCAAGGACAAAATGAGTTGGTAAAGGGTGAGTAAGTTTCCTCAAATATGTAAGTTCAGCATCTGTCAGTTTTGATCTTGTGCGAGGTGGACAAAGCCTAAAAGATGGCTTGAATCCAGGAGCAACTTCTGGGAGCAAGTCTGCATCCACCGGCAAAGGCTTTGGCATCCACCAATCAACGAAGCGTGGTCCTAATCCGTACAATAATCTATCTGCTTCTCTTTCATACAGTGATATATTGATATGTAAGTTTTCCCAATCACCTTCTATCCCATCATTTATTTTGTATTGACTACTTCCACTTGATGTTATTAGAGAGAAATGACAGGTATTTTGGTAACTCATATTTGAGGATAGATTTTCTTGATCACTAACTGACTTGTGACTGATATTCGAATAATTTCTTGAGTATGGTACATAGTTGCAACCTCTATATACAGCAAGAAAATCTTCCTTATTCCATACAACAAGGCCTCCAGTCTTCACCTGATTAGAGGAATACTACAATATCAGGGCCACAACTAAAAAAATATTTTAAGGAAAGAACAAGGACGTTAAGGTAAGATGAAAGGGAAATAACAAAGATAACAGCAACTAAGGGAGAACATATTTGGACATGATTAAAATTATTTTTACACTCGCTAAATGCTCTAAAGGTAAGAGGATTGCTGAAAACTTGATGCATTTTTGGAAAGGACATCTTTCCAACTGGATTGGGATGTTACAGTGGGAAGAACAAAGCAAAAATCATGTTAAAAATTGATCACAGACAAGGTCAGAAGAGTGTCCACAACTCATATGGAATAAGATTTGAGAACTAGTATCTGCATAAATCGTACGTGAACAAATTATAACTTCATAACTCTTCAAGGTCATATGTACAGTTGCTGTTTGGAGTAAATCCAGCTGTTTTGTAAAAGCCGCAACAAAAAAAATTTTGGTTGTCATGGATACCCTGCCCTACTTTGGTGCTATTCTAGGAAATGACTTAAATCATATAAACAGAAAAGCATAGGCCTTTTTTAAGTGAAAAAGTCGTTATATCAGAGGAACAATTCAATTATTCAGTTTGTGCCTTGTACATAACAAATGCAGCTAGGAACACAAGGTACAACTTGAAGTTTTCTAAAATACCAGGACTGAAGACTTATGGGCTGACTTTGTCGATAAAGTTTAAGATAAAAAGAATAATATGCGTCTGTGGTCATTTTTTTCAATTTTATACTTTTGCTGTCTCAAGCAAATGGAGCAATCAACTTATATGAAGCACTGAACACTTTAGAAGCATAGACTGGTAGTGGATAAAGAAAAGGTAAGGAAAGGTAAACAGACATAAACCTCAGTGATCTCTCGAGCTCTCTCCATATTTCGGCACAAGGGTAGATCAAATTTGATTAAGGCAAGTTCATTGTTCTTCCAGACAAGATGAATTTGATCAACAACAGCTTGAGTCACGCCAGCTTTCTTAACCTTCACCCATTTTCTCATTATTGCAGCCTGACCCCGCAACCTTTTTAGCAATACTCCATCAAGAACCAACTCGGCAGTGGTGACCTGCTTATCCCTTTTTACCCTCCTAATCACCATTTTCTCATCTCTCTCCCATGGCATTTTCTTCAATATCCCTTCATTTTCAACCTCCCCAAATGGAATATCTAATTCAGTAGTTTCAAAACTTTTTGGGCCCACCTCTGAATCTTCCTCAACTTCTACAACATTCTCAAAGTCCGCATTACCCCACAAGTCACCAGGTGCAAATCTGAATTTAACATTTTCCGGGACCTTCTGAGTCTCCTCCAAATTTTCGGTTTCTTGGAGTTTCTCAATGCCTTGAAAGATTTTCTTCATGGCCTTTTGCCCTCTTCCACCACTCACTTTACCAGCCAAAGCCTTATCAGGGTGTTCTTCAATTTTGTCTAAGGTGGAATCTTTTCTAGGTCTTGACTTGGTAGGTTTCATAATTCGATCGGGTTCGACAAGAAGAGGACCCTTCATCCACGGAGCAGTGGGCGCTTTTATGGCTGAAGTAGATTGTGGAAAGCGTGAACCTTTTGCAGCATAATCCTCGTTTTCATACACAATGCTGCTGCTGCTGCTGCTGATTTTTTCAACTTTTGCGTTATTATCATTGATAAAAGGGCTATAAAAGATTGCGGAACTAACTTTAGATTGATGAAAAGAGAGAGATTGTGCTGAATTTTTTGTAGAATTGTAAGGGAAGACGGGGTTTGATGCAGCAGAGAGAAGGGAAGTAGCAGACATGGGTATTTTCTAGGTGCAAAATTGTATATGACACGAAGATCGTTTGATGTAATTCACCACCTTATGCAATTATTCTGAGGGTTTGAAGGCTTTTTCCGGGACTGTGAAGATTCGTTTGCGGCCATTATCCCGTTTGGCTAATGTCTAGCTTTGACATCTTGCAGGAGAAATATTTTTTCCATCGATTTTTTCAAGATCAGTGCTATTCCCATCCACACTTTTCATATTTATTACATCCACTTTTGAAAATAAAATTCTATTATATTTTAAATTTTATGTAAATTTACTTATATAGACCTAAATAAATTTAAATAAAAATACATAACTCTATATTCATCCACTTATTTTTATTTTCATTAAATTATCCTATTTCCTTATATTCTTTTAGAATTTGTGTTTAATTAGAACCCTAACATATCAAAGAAAATTACATGAATATGTTCGACGCATTCTAATACTTAGAATTTCAATAGAGAAATAATTTAATAAATAATGGAAGAGACGCCACTTGATCAAATATATACAGACATAGCAATATATGAAAAGGAATTTGAAAAAGTAAGGATTGCCTTTTTATTGTGTTTTGTTGTTTGATTTTTGTTTGAATTTGGACATTTTAATTTTCTTTTCCTGATTTTACCTGTTATCTCTAAGTCTAATTGGTAAGAGCCTTTGGTCACCAAGCAATCCATGGCGTGAAAACTCTTTTTTGATTGTTGTCTAGATTGCTTTCTTTTTTCTCCCCTTTCAACTATGCCAAAAAGTTAATAGTATCTATATAGAAAGCGATGTTCTATTTCTTAAATTATTAAGCACCTCACTTCTCCAAAAGAAGAAAAGAACATAAAATAGTTTCTCTTTATCTGATTTTAATAAGGACAATATTGAAATATGATGTGGATACAAATAGTAATTTTTTTAAAAAAAATTAAAATTTAATAGGGATTAACTTAGAGGTAGAGGTAAATATAAAAAATGTGGATAGAAATAGCGGTACCCTTTTTTATTGAGTATAAGAAAATTAACTTTCTGCGAGTTAATTATTTCAATGGTCACTCAACTTATGTTCATATTTTTTATTGGTCACTAAAGTTTAAAATGTCGAGTTTTGATTATTAAACTTAAATTCATGTCTTCGATTGCTCACTAAAGTTAAAAATGTTGAGTTTTGTCCACTGAACTTTGAAAAATATCGTACGTTACTCACTGTAAATTCAACATTTTTTCAAAATTTAACATTTTTGCTAGTAAGTAAAGTACAATATTTTTCAAAATTCAATGGTTAAAACTCAACATTTTAAAATTCAGTGAGCAGTCGAAGACGTAAACCTAAGTTCAGTGATCATAACTTGACATTTTAAAATTCAGTGACCAATCAAATACGTGAACTTAAGTTCAGTGATCATTGGAATAATTAATTCATTTTTTGCAACTCTTTCTAATTTTCTAAAAGGAGGCCTATGGCACGAGGAAGGCGGTTTGGTCCCAATTTGGTGTGATGGTAATGGGACGGGTCGATTATTTCCATCCCCCTTCTTGTGGGTATATTTGTCATTTTATCTCGTTTTCATACTTGATTAAAGTGGGACGAGTGGACATGTTCCATTTATCATGCCATTATTTTTTTTATTTATTTTGCTTTTTTCATGTCTTTAGTTAATAAATATTATTATTTTTATTTTTCCAATTTGTGAGGAACTCGTGTTCTCTTTGAAAGTGATAATAAATCTTTTATTTTTGATGAATAGAAAACTTAGATTTGAAATCAACATTAAACAAGATAATTTGCGATGTGAAAATTATATTTTTGGTACCCGCTTCGGAGCAACGATCAACACCCCATCTCGTCTACCCCGTTAGGTGGATAACTCCCACCCATTCAGGATGGGGCTCGCGAATATCAACTTAAATAGGTTTTTCTTCATCCATACTGTTTCGTGAAAATTAAATTTTTAATTTAAGATAAAGTCGATAATTAATTTTAACCACATATTTCTATGGAACTCAACTTTTCATCTACATATTTCATTAATTTTTATCAAGATTTGCTAAAAAAAACTAATATTAATCCACACTAAAAGAGGCATAGGACATAAAAGAAAGGCGATTAATCATTAATCTAATCTAATCACTCTATGAATTCATTTGTCAATTTAACTAATGCAATATAATAAGAATTAATCTATTTGTACGTGGAAGCTTACACTCCGATTGACACGATCCCACCCGACCTCTCACATGGAAGAGGTCGGGGTCCACACCCAAATGTGTGGGGCCGACCTCGCCATGTGAGAGGAGAGGTGAGCTCGTGTCAACCAGAGTGTAAGGCTCCATATAGAAATAGCACAACCCGTATATTAATGACATTATCATTTACGTCCACGTCAACAGTACACATGAGACATCTTGATATACTTATTTTAAAATTATTTAAAGGGACATTTTTAAGATTGTCCAATTTTAAGGGTATGAATTGAAAAGTGTCCACTTATTTGAATTTAGTGTCAACTTGTATATTATGCCCTTAATGAAAAGCTACATTTTGAAATGGTATTCTTGACATTTTAAATGTCGTTCTCGATATTTGATTTTTTTATCAATTTGTCACGAATTTTGAGAAGTAACTTCCATGAAAAGCGACATTAAAATAATATTTCTCGACATTTCATATGTCATTCTTGACATTTGAACATTTTTTCATTTATCTAGAATGACATTTCATTTTGAACATGACATTTCTTTACATTTAAAAATGTCATTCTTGACATATCTGAATCAATGAAAAATATAGTATTTATTGTAATTAGACATATATACTTTTTGAAATAAATATGACAAGTTATGTGCCAAAATTTTATTGGCCAATAACAATATTGCAAAAATGTCCATTTTTTGTTTTATTGTGGAATTATAAATTGTTAATAAGGTTATTTTGGTCTAAATTCTTCCAAATTAGTCATTTGCAAAAATGTCCACCATTGTAAAAATATCTAGGTAAAAATGGACATTTTGTGAAATTTCCTCTTATTTAAGTTAAAATAACATTTTACATGTCAATCGTTCGGTATTTTAACGTGAAAATCAACATATTTTGTTAAGTAAACTGACGATAGTGCTCAAAGTGACCAAATATACGAGCAAATCGAAGTTGGCGACTTGATTGCACCAAATTGAAGACAAGTATGCACATCCACTCAAGGTGGAGTGATCAGCAATGCATTTAACTCATGCTTTAAATAATTAAAACAAGAGGAAATTAACCTTAATGTCTTGTCATGCCTTACCTCATTTAGAACTCTTGACGTACAAGATGACTTTTTTATTCAACTCATCATAACCATTAACATAGAGAGAGAGATTGTGCTGAATTTTTTGTAGAATTGTAAGGGAAGACGGGGTTTGATGCAGCAGAGAGAAGGGAAGTAGCAGACATAGGTATTTTCTTGGTGCAAAATTGTATATGACACGAAGATCGTTTGATGTAATTCACCACCTTATGCAATTATTCTGAGGGTTTGAAGGCTTTTTCCGGGACTGTGAAGATTCGTTTGCGGCCATTATCCCGTTTGGCTAATGTCTAGTTTTGACATCTTGCAGGAGAAAGATTTTTTCCATCGATTTTTTCAAGATCAGTGCTATTCTCATCCACACTTTTCATATTTATTACATCCACTTTTAAAAATAAAATTTTATTATATTTTAAATTTTATGTAAATTTCTAAATAAATTTAAATAAAAATACATAACTCTATATTCATCCACTTATTTTTATTTTCATTAAATTATCCTATTTCCTTATATTCTTTTAGAATTTGTGTTTAATTAGAACCCTAACATATCAGAGAAAATTACATGAATATGTTCGACGCATTCTAATACTCAGAATTTTAATAGAGAAATAATTTAATAAATAATGTAAGAGACGCCACTTGATCAAATATATATAGACATAGCAATATATGAAAAGGAATTTGAAAAAGTAAAGATTGCCTTTTTATCGTGTTTTGTTGTTTGATTTTTGTTTGAATTTGGACTTTTTAATTTTCTTTTCCTGATTTTACCTGTTATCTCTAAGTCTAATTGGTAAGAGCCTTTGGTCACCAAGCAATCCATGGCGTGAAAACTCCTTTTTTGATTGTTGTCTGGATTGCTTTCTTTTTTCTCCCCTTTCAACTATGCCAAAAATTTAATAGTACCTATATAGAAAGCGATGTTCTATTTCTTAAATTATTAAGCACCTCACTTCTCCAAAAGAAGAAAAGAACGTAAAATAGTCTCTTTATCTGATTTTAATAAGGACAATATTGAAATATGATGTGGATACAAATAGTAATTTTTTTTAAAAAAAATTAAAATTTAATAGGGATTAACTTAGAGGCAGAGGTAAATATAAAAAATGTGGATATAAATCTTTTTTATTGAGTATAAGAAAATTAACTTTCTGCGAGTTAATTATTTCAATGGTCACTCAACTTATGTTCATATTTTTTATTGGTCACTAAAGTTTAAAATGCCGAGTTTTGGTTATTGAATTTAAATTCATGTCTTCGATTGCTCACTAAAGTTAAAAATGTTGAGTTTTGCCTACTGAACTTTGAAAAATATCGTACGTTACTCACTGTAAATTCAACATTTTTCAAAATTTAACATTTTTGCTAGTAAGTAAAGTACAATATTTTTCAAAATTCAATGGTTAAAACTCAACATTTTAAAATTCAGTAAGCAATCGAAGACGTAAACCTAACTTCGGTGATCATAACTTGACATTTTAAAATTCAGTGACCAATCGAATACGTGAACTTAAGTTCAGTGATCATTGGAATAATTAATTCATTTTTTGCTACTCTTTCTAATTTTCTAAAAGGAGGCCTATGGCACGAGGAAGGCGGTTTGGTCCCGATTTGGTGTGATGGTAATGGGATGGATAATGGGACGGGTCGATTATTTCCATCCCCCTTCTTGTGGGTATATTTGTCATTTTACCTCGTTTTCATACTTGATTAAAGTGGGACGAGTGGACATGTTCCATTTATCATGCCATTATTTTTTTTGCTTTTTGCCTTTTTCATGTCTTTATTTAATAAATATTATTATTTTTATTTTTCCAATTTGTGAGGAACTCGTGTTCTCTTTGAAAATGATAATAAATCTTTTATTTTTGATGAATAGAAAATTTAGATTTGAAATCAACATTAAACAAGATAATTTGCGATGTGAAAATTATATTTTTGGTACCCGCTTCGGAGCAACGATCAACACCCCATCTCGTCTACCCCGTTAGGTGGATAACTCCCACCCATTCAGGATGGGGCCCGCGAATATCAACTTAAATAGGTTTATCTTCATCCATATTGTTTCGTGAAAATTAAATTTTTAATTTAAGATAAAGTCAATAATTAATTTTAACCACACATTTCTATGGAACTCAACTTTTCATCTACATATTTCATTAATTTTTATCAAGATTTGCTAAAAAAAACTAATATTAATCCACACTAAAAGAGGCATAGGACATAAAAGAAAGGCGATTAATCATTAATCTAATCTAATCATTCTATGAATTCATTTGTCAATTTAACTAATGCAATATAATAAAAATTAATCTATTTGTACGTGGAGGCTTACACTCCGATTGATACGATCCCACCCGACCTCTCACATGGAATAGGTCGGGGTCCACACCCAAATGTGTAGGGCCGACCTCCCCATGTGAGAGGAGAGATGAGCTCGTGTCAACCGGAGTATAAGGCTCCATGTAGGAATAGCACAACCCATATATTAATGACATTATCATTTACGTCCACGTCAACAGTACACATGAGACATCTTGATATACTTATTTTAAAATTATTTAAAGGGACATTTTTAAGATTGTCCAATTTTAAAGGTATGAATTGAAAAGTGTCCATTCATTTGAATTTAATGTCAACTTCTCTATTATGCCCTTAATGAAAAGCTACATTTTGAAATGGTATTCTCGACATTTTAAATGTCGTTCTCTATATTTGATTTTTTTATCAATTTGTCACGAATTTTGAGAAGTGACTTTCATGAAAAGTTACATTAAAATAATATTTTTCGACATTTCATATGTCATTCTTGACATTTGAACATTGTTTCATTTATCTAGAATGGCATTTCATTTTGAACATGACATTTCTTTACATTTAAAAATGTCATTCTTGACATATCTGAATCAATGAAAAATATAGTACTTATTGTAATTAGACATGTATACTTTTTAAAATAAATATGACAAGTTATGTGCCAAAATTTTATTGGCCAATAACAATATTGTAAAAATGTCCATTTTTTGTCTTATTGTGAAATTATAAATTGTTAATAAGGTTATTTTGGTCTAAATTCTTCCAAATTAGTCATTTGCAAAAATGTCCGCCATTGCAAAAATATCTAGGTAAAAATGGACATTTTGTGAAATTTCCTCTTATTTAAATTAAAATAACATTTTACATGTCAATCGTTCGGTATTTTAACGTGAAGATCAACATATTTTGTTAAGTAAACTGACGATAGTGCTCAAAGTGACCGAATATACGAGCAAATCGAAGTTGGCGACTTGATTGCACCAAATTGAAGACAAGTATGTACATCCACTCAAGGTGGAGTGATCAGCAATGCATTTAACTCATGCTTTAAATAATTAAAACAAGAGAAAATTACAGGAAATATCCACTTTCATATGTCCATTTGCAAAAATGTTCATTTTTACAAATCCTTGCAAAAATGTCCATTTTGAAATATTTTGGCCCAAAATACCCCGTAAACAATTTATGATTCCACACAAAGACAAGAAATGAACATTTTTGCAAAAATTTTATTAGCTAATAAATTTTTGACACATAACATGTCATATTTATTTTAAAAGCGTACATGTCAAATCACAATTAATTCTATTTATCTCATTAACATAGAAACGTCGAGAATTAGATTTCAAGTGTAGAGAAATGTCAAGTTCAAAATAAAATATCATTCTAGATATTTAAAATATTGAGAACATTTAATATTTTGATTTGACATATGTTCTTTTAAAATATAAACGAAATTCAAATACCGAGAATGACTTCTCGAAATCCGCAGACTAAAGACTTAACCTTAATGTCTTGTCATGCCTTACCTCATTTAGAACTCTTGACGTACAAGATGACTTTTTTATTCAACTCATCATAACCGTAAACATAAAGAGGCCTTAGGAAAGGAGACTGAACCTGAACCTCCCATGAGCAGTACAAAAGTGAACCCGAAACGGGTCATCAATTCACATTTACATACTTGTGACAGATTCGAATAGGTCATATATCAATTTTTATTCCCTATAAAATATTGATGATTTTTATTTTGATTCCTTTGAAGAATTTTCTTCTCGCCGAATGAATGGCATTTATATATCATATCACGTACCTGAATTAAGTAACCATACTATTTCATTAATGAACAGATATTTGTCAAAACATGCAAATACAAAGAGTATACTGGCTTAGCTTATTTCTGAGAAAGAAGCAAATAAGTTATCCTTTCAATCTTTCTTGCTTGTCTTGCAGAATGTAAGCTAAACCATACATGTCCAAAGGAAAATGACCAGTCTTGAAACCGAAAACGATTATTTTTGGAAAAATGATAATCACTGGCCTCATTTTTATTCAGAGTTTTCCACCCTGGTGAGCACTTATAAAGATGATCATGCCATGACTTGAAATTGCAATTCTACTATTACCACCATCTCATGTCCCTAAAAACATTAGGCTAATCTGCTTATAACAAGATTAATGTACAGTCCACGTATAACCAACAGAATAAAACTGGGGAACGAGAGACTGATTAAGAAGTTGACAGCCTCTTTCTTCTCTTATTCCCCATGCTGTCTGTCTCAACAACGCTTTGACATTACAAAACAACGGAGCAGCAAAATTTAGAGAAGCATAGGACTCGAAGGAATTCTAAAGATGCACAAGCTAAAACAAGAAAATTGCAGAGACATTGATTATATCTTCTTGGCCTCATCATTGACTGGTTCATGAAGAGTTCCAAACATCCAGTCCATCCATATTGTGTAGTGGCCATAATTGTGACAATATGTGGTGTGATGTATGGTATGATAACCAGCACCCATTACAGGCCATAACTTGCCGTGTATGCAGTCATGAATGTTTGCAGTCCATATGCCCTCAATGAACAGAAGCGCTATGTGTGTTGTGAAATGCATTGGCACTAGGAAGAGAGCTATGACATGTGGTGCTGCCTGCAATATCCCGTCCAGAGGGTGGGAGGCCAAACCTATTGAAAACAAAACAAGCCAAACCATATGCTATTGAAGATAAAACTCGCGAGAGAACTTTTATTTTCCTCACTCATAATGTACAATAAGTTGGTATTTTTACAGTGCAAGGAGAATACATGAAAAAGGAAAAAAATAAATCTCCTACAATTCTAATAAATCACAATATCCTATATATGGTAACTGGAATAAAAGACAATCTTTACTTAATCAATTAGGGATTTTGATACTCCCCCTCGAGTTGCATCATAAATGTTAATCATATCCAACTTAAAAATGAAATCATCGAATTTCTGTCTAGGTAGTCCTTTGGTGAAAACACCTGTAACCTGTGTTTGTGTAGGAACACAAGTCATGCAAATGGTCCCTTCCTCAACCTTTTCCTTAATAAAATGTCTATCCACCTCTACGTGCTTGGTTCGGTCATGCTGAACTGGATTAAGGGAAATGTTGATTGCTGCTTTATTATCACAGTAGAGTTTGATGGCCAACTTTACTACAACATTTAATTCTTCCAACAGTTTTTTCAACCACAGTCCTTTGCATATACCCTGTGCTACAACTCTGAACTCAGCTTCTGCACTACTTCTAGCCACCATATTCCGTTTCTTACTTCTTCATGTTACCAAATTTCCTCATACAAAGGTACAATACCCAGTAGTGGACCTTCTATCTTCTATCGAGCATGCCCAGTCTGCATCTGTGAAAATTTCTCAATCTTTCCTTCCACCCCTTTTGAAGAGCAGTCCCTTTCCTGCGATTCCCTTGAGATATCTGAGTATCTTATAGATAGCTTTAGGTGACTTTCCTTTGGAGAATGCATATGTTGGCTTACCAAGCTAACTGCAAATGTGATGTCAGGTCTAGTATGTGATAGGTATATTGGCTTTCCAACCAATCTTTGATATCTGTTAATTTCTACTGGTTTTTCTCCATCTTCATTTTTCCTTCCCACATCCACGGGTGTATCACTTGGTTTGCATCCAAGCATGCCGATTTCGGTAAAAATCAAGAACATACTTTCGTTGAGATACACTAATGCCTCTTCTAGATCTGGCAACTTCCATTCTCATAAAGTATTGCATTGATCCCAAATCGTTTATCTCAAATTCAATGGCAAGGCTTTTCTTTAGTATTTCCATTTCAACTATATTATCACCTGTCAAAACAATATCATCGACATATACTATTAGAATCATTTTAGTACCATCTTCAAATGTTGGAAGAAACATGGTGTGATCTGACTGCCCTTGGCGATATTCCTAACTTTTCGGTACTTTTGCAAACCTATCAAGCCATACTCTTGGTGACTGCTTGAGTCCATATAAGGACTTTTTTAGCTTACATACCCGATTTCTTTCATTTACCTTACAAAATCCTGGTGGTAATGTCATGAATACTTCTTCTTCCAATACCCCATTTAAGAAAGCATTTTTAATAACCAGATACTGAAGTGGCCAATCCAAATTTACAGCTAGTGATAGAAGAACTCGAATTGTATTCAGTTTTGCTACTGGTGCAAATGTTTCTGTATAGTTAATGCCATAAGTCTGTGTGTATCATTTTGCAACCAACCGAACTTTATACCGTTCTATTTTCCCATCAACTTTGTATTTCAAGTTAAAGACCCATTTACATCCAACGAGTTTCTTTCCTTTTGGCAGATCCATCACTTCCTAGGTTTCATTTTTTCCAAAGCTGCATTTCTTCCAAAACTGTTTCTCTCCATTTTGAAATTTCCAAGGCTTCCTAAACAGTTTTTGGAATCACTGTACTGCCAAGATGAGTGGTAAAAGCACGAAATCCTGTAGTTAAAGCATTTATGACAAGAATTTTGAAATAGGATGGAGAGTACATGACCGTGTTTGTTTTCTGAGAGCAATGAGCAAATCCGTATCCGATATCTCTAGGGTTTTCTAAGGTTCTGGAGCTACCATCGATTCTTACTCTTTTGGTGCTTAAGATGTGAGATTCTCCAAGTTCCTTGATTTTAGCTTTCTTGAATAAACCAATATCTCCTTATCATTTTTTTTCTACATCCCCCCTGTATTCAAATTCCCTTCTGTCATTGGCATAGTAGACTCAGGTGGTGGGACGGGTTTAGGAGAGGAGAGACTAAAGTTAAAGAACCGCTCTTCATGCAAGGTCTCCCCCCGAAGAGAAGTGTTAGTAAAGTATGGAGTATTTTCGAAAAAGGTAACGTCAAGACAAAGATTTTTTTTGTGGAAGGATCATAGCATTTGTAGCCCTTTTGTGTAGGAGAATATCCAATCCAAACATGTTTAATAGCTCGCGGATCCAGTTTACTTCGGTGATGAGAGTGAATATGAACAAATGTAGTACAACCAAACACTCTTAGGGGTAGATTAGAGCTGAGTCGAGAAGTCAGGAAGTATTTCTTAAATTTTTGATTGGTGTCTTGACACTTACGACATGATTTGGCATTCGATTGATTAAATAGGTGGATGTGAGGATAGCATCCCCCAAAACATCTTACGCATATTTATAGTAAACATTGAGGCACGGGCAACCTCTAGGAGATGCCTATTTTTGAGTTCGGCAATCCCATTTTGTTGAGGAGTGTCAACACAGGAACTTTGATGAATTATTCCATGTTTTTGAAGAAAGTCACCCATGATGGTATTGAAGTATTCTGTGCCATTGTCAGAATGTAAGATTTAAATGTGTTTGGAATTGCGTTTTGATCATGGAATGAAAGTTGATAAACACGAGACAGACATCGAATTTATCTTTTAGTAGGTAGACACAACTAAGTCGGGTGTGATCATCGATAAAAGTGACAAACCATTTTGTGTGGGTAGAATTCGGGACTCATGAGGGTCCCCATACATCGCTGTGAATCATGGTGAATGGTTTTGATGGTCTGTATGTGGATTGTGGAAATGAAGTGCGTTGGTGTTTTGCAAGTTCACATATTTCACATTGAAAATTAACTTGCTTTTCATTCATGAAAATAGAGGACAACACACGTTTCAAATATTGAAAGTTCGGATGACTCATTTTAAAAGGTTATAACATAATTTCACTATCACTAAGAACAGATGCAGAATCACAAATTTTAAGTTGACACTAGTTACTCGCATCAACTTTGTCAAAGTAGTTGAATCCTCCACTTCTTTAGCACTGTCAATCGTCTTCCCCGATGATAGGTCCTGAAAAATACAGTGTGATGGAAAAAATTTAGCAGAGCAAGTGGAAGTTTTTGTTAGTTGGCTTATAGATAATAAATTGCACAATAAATTTGAAACATAAAGGACCGATTCTAAAGTTATAGAGTCAGAAATTTGAATACTCCCTTTTCCTGCAACTGTCAAAAGAGAACCGTCTGCAATCTTAAATTTAAGATTACCAGCACAAGGTGAGTATGTAACAAACAAATTGTAAGAGTCTGTCATTGGATGCCCTTAAGTTAATAATTCATGACACTTTAGCGAATGCGGTAAAATTTCGGGCTCTAAAGAAATTACATTTATGGACCACTAAACCTGATATCTTAGATGCCATGATGAAAGTCAGCCCATATATATTTAATCCACCGAGGAGAAGAAAAAATACAGTAGCCCAAACTAACTTAGCCTACAAACCAAGCCCAACAATGAAATCAACAATAATTGAAGGAGCCCACAACAAACCAAGAGCCCAGAAAATATCAAATCACAAACTAAGCCCAAAAAATTACTCGAGCCCATTAATAATTAGCCCACAACTCAAATCAGTCATTCCACAATCCAAAAGTCCAGAATGATCGACGATACCAGCGAAGTGCAATCCGGCACCCAAAGTCGACAATTTCCCAATACTTACTCACGATCGCAGAACCACTACAGACGAAGCCATCTACAACCACCGCACTGTAGAGATCAGACCACCAATCCCAAGCCAGAAAATACTATACTCAAATGCAGACCCAACTCCAAAGATGCCAGAACTACAGAATTTCAACCTTAGGCGACACAAAACGCGACAATACCAAGAGCAAATAACTAATACTAAAGGAAACGAGAGATCAAAGGTTCCCCCTTCGATGTACAGAAGGCATCTAAAAGCACACGAGAAGACCACGGGTTCGAAAATTTCTGGTGCTCTGATACCATGAAGATAAAACTCGGGAGAGAACTTTTATTTTCCTCAGTCATAATGTAAAGTAAGTTGGTCATTTTATAGTACAAGGAGAATACATGGAAAAGGAAAAAAAATAAATCTCTTACAATTCTAATAAATCACAATATCCTATCTATGATAACTGAAATAAAAGACAATCTTTACTCAATCAATTAAGGATTTCGATAGCTGTGAATTTGATGAATCTCAAAGGGCCATAAGAACATAAACTAATAAGACTAACTACGACAAATAGGTATCCTGGGTGCAAGAAGTTTAAGATAATAATACGAGAAAGTTGAATATTGCTTATTCACAAAAAATTTGAGATGTGAGTGTACATAAACACAATATCACACAATATAATACTCCAGGCATATTATGTAAAGACTATACAAAGTGGCTGACTTCACTTGTATAACATATTCACGAAACTCAAGATCACAAAATCAATGCAAATTACCAGCGTCAAAGAACTCAATCTGGCCACAAGATTTTCATCACTAATATAAAGGTTTAAAAATCTTTAGACAATGGCCATGAAAACAAATATGATTGTATCAGAATACAATAACTTAACGAGCAACAAAACCTCAGCTACATCTATCAAACTCCAGTCGATCTTAAATTCACTTGGACACAACATATAGTCTACGATGATATAGTGAGTGCTTTCAACACCATCTTCTTATATGAGAGGTCAGATTTCGGTTGTCCCTGAACTATGTCACATGGATCAAACTAAAGATTAGGCCTTTGTTTGATCCCCTTTTCACCAAAAAAAAAAAAAAAGGAGAGAGTTTTATAACATTTATTTTTTTGGAGATGTGTAATTAAAAACTAAGAAAAGTTTTGGATTTAATGTGTGGTTGAAAATGAGTTAAATTTAAGTTTTTGGAGAATGGGTTCAAACAGTATACATTTGGACATCCACCAAAAGAGCTTCTCTAGCACAAATTTATGCATAATGCTCCAACATTGCATTGCTTGCCATTATATTGCTCCTCTTAGATAAGTGAATGACTCATTTCATGCTATGAATCCCAAAAAACAAGAAAAAACAAGTTAAGACAATGGGATTTAATGGGAAAGATATCCCATACACAAATCATTATACACAACCTATATAAAGTTATATTATCATTCATTTAGGTTACATCACGAACCTGTAAATTTATTTGAGCCAAACTAAATTTTTAAGAGACAACTGCAAGTTACTTCAAATATAAGAAAAGATGCAATAAAGAATATCTTTTATGGATATAATTTCACATAGTTTTCTCATTCTGGCATTACCAAACTGGTTCCCAACATCAATAAGGAATGGCATTCTGGCCTCTAAAAGGAAATTACCGTGGCTTTCATCTTATAGAAAACTGGAGAAGCACAAACAAGAAATTAAAATTTTTTACACACAATAATTTTGTACTCAGTTTCTTTGTCGACACTACTCAACCATGGGAAATTTCTCTATGACCAACAATAAAGTGCCAAAACTTTTAACAAAGTCATCAAGGGAATCACCACACAAACACAACAAAATGATGAGAAAGAAGTAGAACTCACCAGCAAAAGGAGAAAGTGTATTTTGCTTGTTGTAGATGTGATGTGTGGCATGGAGATATTTATAGAGAGGTTTTATGTCATGTAACTCCCTATGCATCCAATATATCCCGAACTCCACGAACACAAGATAAACAATCAAATAGAAAAGGTAGGCAACCCAGCCAACATCGCTTATCCTTGAAAAACATTTTGTCCATCCGTGTTCAATCATGTATTCTGAGATTGTTGGAAGGGCACAGTAACATGGCATAGCTTTCATTGCAACCCCTATCTGCAAAAGCATTGCATTTCTCGTAGGAATGGCATCTGTACATATTATGTTAATCAGAACTATATTTTTCCCCAAGCAGACGAAAGAATTTTCTCCCTCGTATTGCAATACCCAAGTTCAACACCAGAAAGGTGCAGCATAATAGAATGTGACAAGATGCACCCATAAATTTAGTGACAAAATAATAAATTTGGTGAAACATAAATAGTAATACAGTAAAACTTGATAAATGAGTGTTAAATAAATTAATAATCTAGCTTCAATAATAAAATTATTAGGTCCATATTTGGGCCATTAAACTAAATTAATTACCCCGCTAAATGCAAAAGATAATAAATTTGTTTTAGATATTTTAAGGCTTCATAAAAGTTCGTACTAATACAAATTAACAAACTTTTAATTTGACAACATTTTTTCAATTCACCTATTTTTCAAAATATGCATCTAAAGTCTTTTGCTTTTTCTTAATACCCAAACCAAACTCAACTTCGTTCCTAATTTTTTGCAATGCATAAATAAGTTCCTTTTTCTTTTTTTTTTTTGTGCAAAGTAATTATTCAAGGTTGTGATTGCTTGAAATGCCTCTTTTGAAGAAACGGCAGGTAAAATACAACTATCATCTGAATCGTGATTGATAAAGGTATTGAGTACCCCTTTTTGTGTGCTTACAGATTTAATTTTGAATTTCACCACATTAAAAAAATAAAAAATCCAACGTGTATTGTGGTTAAATATAACACAAGTTATAAAAATATAATATACCCTATAAATTAATAAATATTTATTTATCGATAAATTAATAGATTATTCATTTATCGATAAATTTATAATCCCTCTAAGATAATAAATTATCTTGATCCCAACATTATTATTTTATAGAGGTTTTACTATATATCAAGACTGCTAACTGCAATGTTATTTTCCTCAAAAATCCAAATTGTTTAGGGGGAAAAAACACCTGCCTTTGGACAAGCAATTTCATAAATGTAGTGATAATATCATTGTATGATCCACAAACTGACAAATTCAATCTTAGTTTTATCGACTAAAAGATTCATCTAAAAAGAGCAGCTAGAAGACAGTTCAAGCAAGCAAAAATTCTGTAGACAGGCTAGTCCAATTCTGAGACAACTCAACTCAATATTAAGTTTGGAACCACTTATAACAAGAATAGAAGACTCCCATATATGAACCGGATCACCATGTTTAGGAAGAATACGATTATGAACACAACATGTAATTAGAACAAATAATAAACAGATAAAATTAACATCTCAGTTTTGGAAGAAAAAAATGAGGAATTTTCCAAAATAGCCATCTTTTAATGGCCACCTTTTAAGTTTTTGGATTAAAAAAGGCCTTTTTTAGAGGTCGAATATTCAATTTAAGCTTATTAAAAAGTTTCTGCTACATTTTGTGCTAAAGGAATTTTCATTTGACTTGATGGTCCAGTTGTGGGAGCTTAGTAAATATGGCAGATATGATTTCAAAACATAAAAACAACTCTACAGGTAAACAATATCTTTGAACAATAGCAATATACAAGTGCAAGAATCTTTGGATATTGACTTTATCCATTCGCTCTCCATTCTGACATTGAAGAGTTTGATTAAATGGAAAATGGCATTTTTGGATAATGAAATTTTACTCTGTTTGAGAAAAGACTGAAGAGTGCCCATTTTTCAATTTCTATCTCCAGTCCTCCCCAGAAAACGTCCTCATATGAATTCTATAGATAGAAAATTTATGGAAAAACATAAATTCCCTAAAAATGAAAAAGACCAAATTACTACATCAATCAGATGGTTGGCTAAAACAAATCGACAAACCCAATTCGGTTGCCCCAGGAAAACACAATTACGAACTCACTTACTTTACACCCATTGAATAATGGCATAAATTTAGAAAAAGAAAAGGACACGAAGAACTAGAAAAAGAAAGAAAAGAAAAAACATGCACAAAGAGTAAAATACCTAAGCAAAAATGAAAGGCACCCACTTCATTGAACTAAATTGAAATCTCATGTCAAAAATTCAAACCAAGAAGGATAAAAAATAAGCATCATCAACGGCGAAGTAAGAAAATATCAAATTTAAAACCAAATTAAAACTGTGAAAACCCCGTACCTTTTGGAACACAGACATTATGCTTCAAGTAGTAGATATAAAAACACCACAAAACCCCAGAAAGCAAGTAGAACAAGGTCCCTCCAATGAAGTTTCGGAGCCATCCCCTGAAGAAGTGAGGGAGTGGGACCCACCATTTCTCCAGTAAGAGTGAGCCCATAACAATATCGTTGTACCACGACGTCTCCTCCACGAATAACTGCAAATAATCCTCCATCGCACGACAGGATTTCTGCGGATTCCGGCGAAATTTAAAAATGGGAAAAAGATGGATTTAGGCCCAATTTGATTCCCAGAGTTTGTTCTAAATTTTCAATTTTTTGATGATTAGGCCTCTAAGCCGTATAAGGCGGGGAGACACAAAGAGGTGTGAGACAGTCGAGCGGTTTATATTTTTAAGGAATAATTGCAGCAAAAGTCCCAAACCTCCAAAATATTAGTAAACTTTCTTCAAACTTTTAATTTGTTGCAATTGTCATTCCAAACCTTTCAAAACATTGCGTCGGAGGCCCTTTAGACAGTTTTCATCCAAATATCTGATAGTTGACTAAATATTTTGACTTTGACCATATTTTTAATAATTTTAAAAGGGTAATATAGTAACACTCCATTTACTACATTAAAATAAGTTAGGGAAAAAAAAAAAAAACCTCCTCTTTTTCCGCCTGGCCCCACCCCCACACCCAAAGAAGACCAAGACGAAGAAGGTATCAAAAGAGCAGGGATTTGAAAATGCGCAATAATAAATACGCTCACCGTAAAGCCAAATCTATGTCGCCATAAAGAACCGCACAGTACGAATTGGAGAGAGTGAAAAGTGTTCCTACATATCAAGATCGAGAGAATGATTTGGAAGAAAGTGAAGGTGAATTAGTGCTCTCGACTAAAACGACGCCGTTAGGTTTAGCATTGTCGTCAAATAAGGCTTGTATAACTAATGATCGTCGATTAAGGCTTCTAATATTCCTCACACACTCGAAATCTACTATTGACATACAAATATAAGCTGTCACCTTTCCCAGCTTGCTCATCGTCTCCCCAGTGAAGCAAAACTAGGGATGTCAAAAGGACCGAGCCGCTCATCGGCTCAGCGGCTCGACTCGTGAAAATGGGGCTCGTCGATGGCTCAAGCTCGTAAAATCACGAGCACGAGTAGAGCGAATGCTTAGAGCGGCTCATTTAAACGACAAAACATGCTCGTCGTGAGCCCGAATTTAAAGTGACAAAAACGGTCACTTTTTAAAAAAAGTGACCGTTTGGTCACTAAAAAACGGTCACTTTATTTTTTTTTAATTTTTTTTTCCCCTTTCTACTATAAATACCCCTTTCCCCCTTTATTTTTTTTCATATCAATTGTTACTCCAAGTCTCCAACTCTCTCAACTCTCTTTTATTATATCAATTATCAAGTTTTTACTCTCTTGTGCTGCAAAATATACAATATCGATTCAATTTTTACAGTTTATTAGTTATAATTTCAATTCATCCAATTCTCAATTCTCACAATCTCACTACATTTATATTCTTCTAGTTAAGATTTCATCATAAACAATCAAACAAATAGATCAACGCTTATTTTTTGAGAGCTTATTCGATACAGGATGTGAGCCACATCATGGCGAATCACCTAGGACGCCGCAAAGTCAATTTCTAAATGAATTTGCCGGTCTAAATAACATACCGATACCTAAAGATATTCACATTCACGGTCAGGGAAGCCACAATCCAATTGATTTGGATGATATTAACGTTCCCAAAACTAAATATGAGGATGAAGATGCCAAATTAAACATCCCAGATGCGAGGGAAAAGCGAAAGGCCAAAAATAAGCAAAACGTTGGGATCACTTTAAGTTGATTTCAACGGAAAAAGTCGTCGATGGCCTTCCAAAATCTAAAGTAGTATGTAAATACTGCCAACAAAGATTGACATGGCAAAAAGAAATTGGTATCACCCATCTCAACCGCCACTACAAAGCATGTGCGACGAGACATGGACCTCTTCCAGCTGGTCAAACAAAATTGCAATTTGACAGTCCAGGCGTCGGTTCTATAACTTCACCCCTATCCACATGGGTGTATTCGGAGGACAATACTCGAGTCGGAATGGTGAAATTTGTTGTCACCACTGAGTTGCCTCTGGCTATTGCAGACAACCAACACTTCGTCTCGTTCGTGAAAGAATATCGACAACCGAGGTATGTTAGGGTAAGTCGAAACACTTTTCGTGCCGATACAATAAATTATTTCAATAATTCAAAACAACAATTAATTATGAATTTGCAACAATATAGGAGTGTTATATCTTTAACTTCTGATATATGGGAAGGTGTTAATAAAAGGGCATATATAGCTGCAATCGCATACTATATAGACCCACTTTGTGCATGCATAAGAAAATGATTGCTTAAGCTTTCCCCATAAGCTTACCTTCCCAAGCCTTCCTTTTATGGTTCAATACCTTATCTGGGACAAACACCTGATGAAACTAATTGAATCTCGTATCACTGCCAACCATTTGGTGGTAAAGTCCAAACCCATTTCCCGAATGAGGCCTCTTTCTTCATTTGCATGAAATATATCCAACCAAGAGAGTCGTGCAACCTCCTGAACCTCCTTATTATCTTGACCTGATATTGAGTTTTCTCACAATACTAATAATATATGTAATGCTATTATCAATATTGTTAAATATTATCATTGCAAGACTAAAATTCGGTCTTTTACTTTTGATAATGCTAGTGTTAATAAGGTAATCGTCGATAAATTGTGTAGGACACTTCAACTTGATTTTGGTGGGTATTTGTTTCATATTCGTTGTGTGTGTCATATATTGAATTTAATTGTGCAAGATAGTTTAAAACATATAAATGATGAATTTCAAAGGATTAGGAATGCATTAGTATATATTACGATCTCTCCTAGTAGAAAATAAGCATTTGAAAATTTTTGAGTTGAATTAGGAGAGACGACCGCTGAAACATTTGTTAGCAACGTAGGTCATAGATGAAACTTTACTTACTTGCAATTAAAGTCATGTGAAGGTTTCGAAAATTTAATAATTGACTTTTATAACAATAGACATGTTAGAAGTGATGACGATGGTATGTTGAATGAATCTGATTGAATTTTAGTTTTGAAAGTTAAATGATTTTTGACATCTTTTAATGAGACCAAAAAAATTTTATCTGGCGTTTATTATCCCACAACCTGTATGGTGCTTGAACGTCTTTATATAATTGCAAGAATATTCCATAAAAATAAAAAGGATCCTACTTTTAGTGAAATTATAATTGCTATGGAATTAAAGTTTAGAAAATATTGGGAAGAAATGTCTATGTTATTTCCTTTAGCATGCGCAATGGACCCTGATATAATATTTCGAGAACTAAATACGTAATTGATCAAATCAATAAAATTTTAATACTTGATACACCTATCATCTATAAGAATTTAGAGCAAACATTATGTAGAATATATGATTTATATGCGAAAAGAATGTGTGTGAATGTTAGTCGGGTACCCTCTGCATCTACTCCTTCTGCTAAAATTGAAGAAGGTGATGCCGAAATAATGAATTTATTTCAAGGTATTAATACATTTAGATATGATGCAACCGCAATGTGTTCATCTAGTGTCATATCGTCTACATTTGCATCTCATCAAACATCGATCGAAACTCAAAATGCGATGTCTGTCGAATTAATTGATTACTTCAATCATAATATGCCAACAGGCAGAAAAATTAAAAAAAGTTCAGAAGAAGTAGTTGAATTCCGGCGAAAGTATGAAAGACGTTGGCCAATTGTTTCTGCAATTGCGAAAGATCTGCTGACACCTCCGCTTAGCACTGTTGTTTCGGAGTCTGCTTTTAGTGCATGTAAAAGGGTTTTGACCGATGTCAGGAGCCGACTGAAAGAAGATGTTTTGGAAGCATTAATGTGCGTGAGGGATTGGCAAGACGCTCATTTTCGACTACAAGATAAATACGCTGAAATTGCATGTCGTCAGGTAAGTGATATTTGATTTAATTATATTAATCAAAAAAATTTTATTTTTTAATCGTTAAATTTAATTTTCTTTAAAAAATTATACACGTTACACCAAGTTGTTCGTGTACAATTTCTAACTCAGCTTACTTAAAATTGATGGAGCCGATCTCAAGTCCGAATAAAGGAGGAGGGTTTACATTTTATCCACTTTAGAAATAAATAAATAAAAAATTTTGTAAATGTATTTCAAAAAGTAATTCGTTTTCATTATATAAATATTTTATACTTTATAAAAAGTATTATAATAT